CATTTTATTTTAATTTCTAGTTAGAATCCTGCCACAGGAGATGCAGGCATGCATTCTACACAGCTAGCAACCAAAGGTTAAACTATAAAGCAGCTGTTGCAAGCCGCAAGGTTTAAACAGAACAGAAATGACCCGTTTCTTCCTGATAATTAGAAGGAACTGTAGTTTGATTTATTTAAACTATTTTTAACCTGCCTTTTTCCTTGAAAAGGACCCAAAACAGCTTATAACCATTAAAAGAGAGTATTTAAGCTAATAACAGTGAGTACTCAATACTAAAAGGCTCAATGAATACAATACCAAAATCAGAAGCAAAAGCAAAACACATTCGATTCAATAAGGCACAACCATTGATTTAAAAAAATCCTTTCAGGTATCCACTCGCTCAGGGAAAGCTTGCCTGAAGAGAAAGATCTTTGCCTGCTTGCAAAAAGACAGTCAAGGTGGGGCTGGCCTAGCCTCCTGTGGGAGTTCCAGAATCTGGCAGCAGCAACAGAGAAGGTCTTCTCTTGTGTAAAGGTGGAAGGACCAAGAGGCAAAGATCTCCTGTGAACCCAGGTGTTACACACAACCAGTAACTCAAGACCATGGTCTTGCGATCTTAGGCATACTTACTCAGATGACGTCCCTCTGGCCTAAAATCAATTGTAGTACAGTATGCTGAAATTATTGTGCCTTACATTACTGTCAAATGGTAAGTCACAGTCATTTCCATGGGTCTACAACTGAAAATGAAGTAGGAGTTAGCCCCTTGTTTTCAACCGTAATTAGTCTGTTGAGTAAGCATGCACAGAATTCTAGATTCAGTAATGATGATGAAGCAGTAACAAATCAGTTAAAATATGAGAAATAAGCTAGTCATAGTATCTTTAGCATACAGTGGTGCCCCGCATAACGGGCGCCCCATTTAACAACGAATCCGCATAGTGATTGAGTTTTTGCAATCACAAAATGGTAAAACATCGCTTTGTGATGATCAGTAAACTGTTTTGCTTACCGATTTTCGCATAGCGATGTTTTTTAAACAGCCGCCGGGTAAAAAAAATGGCCGCCCGCTGTGTTTTCGCGCCCATTCCTCGCTTACCGGGCAGCGAAAATGGCGGCCGTATGGAGGATTTTCGCATAACGGCGAGTTTTAAGCCCATAGGAACACATTGAAGGGGTTTCATTGCATTCCTAGGGGCTTTTTTGTTTTGGATAGCAACGATTCCGGATAGCGACGATTTTTCCGGAACGGATTATCATTGCTATGCGGGGCACCACTGTATTTATATTTAAAAGATACTCACTAGTAAATCTCAGAATCCCTTATTGATTTTTTCATATTTTTAACTGGATACTGGGATTTTTTAAAAACAAGACTGCAGGAATTGTATCTGCCACAACAAGGCCAGAAAATTCTTTGCAGGACGTTCGGACCAGCTTTCTCCAACCTAGTGTCCTGTAGATGCTACATCATATGCAGTTACCTCAGTCAATGACTGGGGACGATGGGAGGTATAGTGCATCACATCTGAAGGGTGCCAAGAACAGAAGGGTCCAAGGCGCATTGACCAGAACCCTCAATCATTCCAGCCAAGACAACAGTATGCAAATCCAGTCACATTATTTTCACACCTGAAGCAAAAAAGATCCTCAAGCATCTCTTCCAATCACTAGTAGGTGCTGATTTTATTAATGTCTTGCACATACCGTATCATACTGGGAAATGCTTTCTGATTCCCAGGATATAAACATCTTATGTGCACTAATGATTTACAAACTTGTAGCACTGTCATCTGTCATAAAATCACACAATTTCTAATGGGAAGATTGCTTCCATATAGAAGTCTGGCAATGGCTCAAATTCTGTTCCAGGCAACTACGTCATATAAGGCTAAGGGTAGCAACAGCAGCAGTGATTATTCAGAAATTGAATGTTTCCTACTTCTGTCCTGAGGTTCCCACAGCTCCCTTTCATTGTTGGGAAGCTTTGGGAGCTGCAAGATGGGAGGAGGAAGTCTTTAATTACCAAAAATCACTTCAACTAGCACGTGAAACCACATTTGCTATCTCTATAGAGCAGAAGTTCTCAACCGTGGGTCTCCAAATGTTCTTCGATTATAGCTCTCAGAAATCCTAGCCAGCATAGCTAGCGGTGAAGATTTCTGGGAGATTTAGACCAAGACCACCTAAGGACTCAAGGTTGGAAACCAGTGCTATAGGGTATCTTAGCCAGTTACCCATTATGTGAACTGCAGTTTATTTATTCCCCGAGTGTAGTTCTTCCTCCCCAAAAGCTGTGTTACAAACTCGCTGAGCTTACACATCAAAGAAAAAAAAGCATGATCTACACTCGCTTTCTGCAACAAACCACACGTAGATTCACAAGCAATGCAAGCACTTACGTTCTAAAGCATTCTCTCATTGCTCCGCGGCCGAAAGGCTGGAAAACAACACAAAGATCGTTACTCACCTCATGGTTATTTGGATCTCAAAAGCCTTGCACAGAAATAAAAATTGAAATAAACTGCAGGAATGCAACAAATGGACATAGAAGCCAAAGCACCATAACTGGGGGGTGGGTGGGAGGAACAGGCTGGCCCCAGGTCTCAGTTTTCCTAGTAAAGCAAATAAGATGGGGAGAGGAGACTTTGCTGCTTATAACTAGTGGGAAGGAGAAGATTGATCTTTCCAGTTTTTCTCTGCAAATTTTTGCTGAGACGTTTCTAACTGCTTCCTCCCCTCTGTTTCGGTGAGAGGAGAACATTCCACATAAGCACTTGCAAGAGAAAATCAACTGGTGTGGGGCTGGAGTGGATGGGTTAAGAACACTCAGGACATGTTCTCCTCCATATTATTGCGATAAACGGGTGAAAGCAGCAAAGAATGTGAAGAATCTCAATGTTTAGTTTCACTACAGATAACAAAGAGCAGGTAGGATGGTTTCTTATTTTTTTCTGGAGAAATCTAGAGCAGAGATGCAGTAGCGGGTGGGTGTTTAACCCTTCCCTTCCTTTTCTGCTGCAGCTCTACTTTGCTGCACAGTTTTTTTTTCCCGGCACATGAGAAGACCTAAGAAGACTAATCTCCATTCAGCCATGAAAGCTTAAGGATTAAGGTAAAGGTAAAGGCTCCCCTTGACAATTTTTGTCCAGTCGGGTTCAACTCAGTGAGGATAAAAGGATACAAGACTATATACATTTCACATTCAGTTCTCGGGGGTTTCCCTGAAAGGGGTGAAAACAATAAATAAATGTGGTTGTTGTTTTTTAAAAGTAAGATTAAATAAGGAAGAACCACACCTCTCCTCACCTGTGAAGCCATTTTGATCAGAACTTCATCCTCGACCCACTCCCCAGTGACAGCGTTATATCTATGGATAAATAAAAAACACACCAAATCATGAAAACTCTTGAATGAGGAGGTTGAGACTCAAGGCAATTGCTGCTGGGGTCAATACAGTGGTGCCTTGTAAGACGAGTGCTCCGTTTTATGACGAAATTGCATAATGATGAAGTTTTTGCGATTAGTGAGGATAAAAGGATACAAGACTATGTACATTTCACATTCAGTTCTCGGGGGTATCCCTGAAAGGGATGAAAACAATAAATGTGTTTTTTTTAAAAAGTAAGATTAAATAAGGAAGAACCACCCCTCTCCTCACCTGTGAAGCCATTTTGATCAGAACTTCATCCTCGACCCACTCCCCAGTGACAGCGTTATATCTATGGATAAATAAAAAACACACCAAATCATGAAAACTCTTGAATGAGGAGGTTGAGACTCAAGGCAATTGCTGCTGGGGTCAATACAGTGGTGCCTTGTAAGACGAGTGCTCCGTTTTATGACGAAATTGCATAATGATGAAGTTTTTGCGATCGCAAAAGCGATCGCAAAACAATGCTTCCTATGGGGTTTTTTCGCTTTGCGATGATCAGTTCCCGAAGCGGGAACCGATTCTCGCTAAACGACGATTTTCCTACAGCTCATCAGCGGTTTCAAAATGGCTGCCGGGTTTAAAAAATGGCTGCCCGCTGTTTTCTGGGACAGATTCCTCGCTGCACGGGCAGCGAAAATGGCCGCACTATGGACGATCTTCGCTGGACGGTGAGTTTCAAGCCCATAGGAACACATTAATCAGGTTTTAATGCGTTTCTATGCGCTTTTTAATTTTGCTTTATGATGTTTTCGTTCTACAGCTATTTTGCTGGAACAAATTAACATCGTAATGCAAGGCACCACTGTACTTTCATTTCCCTTTGTGCCCTGGACCAAAGAAAATTCTAGAGCCTTGTGGGGAATTATGACCAGAAAAAAAGAGCCATCTTGGTTCAGACCAGAAGCCTACATGTTGTTCCTCAGCAAGTGATATTCTGGAGCATCAGGAGAACCTCTCATAGATTATAGTAATTGTGTGGAAGAAATATGACAAATCTAACCAGGATCATAACATGGTACTGATAGATAAGAAAGTGCTTTGCCTTCTGTTCTGTTTTTGGTGGTGGTGCTGGGCAGTGGTATATTCAACTGGCCCACTAGTCCTGTGAAACTGTTGAATCAACCTTTTCCCCTGTAAAACTGTCTTCTTGGTGAAAAACGGCTGGGGAAAACTGTGTGGGCTGGCGGTGGCACTGTTTTACCCAGAGAAAGTTGTAGGAAAAGAGGTACATGGATTTCTTCCACAGCCTTGCAGGTCCCAAACGCATTTCTCCCCATGTCCATGCTATCACATCTCCTTTATTGTCATTTGCTTCCCCCCCCCCGAGGTGAAGGGAAAAAAGGGGACAGAAACCTGAGGCCTCCCTCTGATTTTCTATCTGGGGGGGGTTGAGTTGGGGGAAAATTTTCAGCCAGACCCACAGTTGCATTTCAAATTTCAGTTTCAAAAATGATGTGTCTGTCACTCACAAAAGATCACAGTGAAATACATCTCTCTGTCTGAAAGGCACTATTATGCTCCTATTTCTGCTTTTATTATTGTGCATGCAGCGTTATATAAGAAAACAAGGAATATTCCTGTTAACAAATAAATACAGCAAAACTAAGTAGAGGGATTTGACTGGATACATTTACTTATTTATTTATAAATTGTCTTTCCTGGCAACACCTCAAGAGATTCTCCAGGGGCACCTTTTCAAAGAATAAAATAAGAATAACAACAATTGCTTGCTGTAAAGTCCATTCCAACTTATGGAGGCCATTTTAAGAGTTTTCGATGGAGAGAGTACTCAGAAAAGATTTACCATTCCCTTCCTCTAGGGGGAGCCCTGGGATACTGCAGCTTGCCCAAGGCCCCCCAGGCTGGCTCTTCTGGAATGCACAGCAAGGAATCGAACTCCCAACCAGATACTGTACCTAAATCATGAGCTATCCAGCCAAGGAATTGAACTTCCAACCAGATACTGTACCTAACTCATGAGCTATCCAGCCAGCTTTGTCTATCTGATCCAATAACTGGCTAGATAGTTCAGTGATTTAGGTATCTGGTTGTGCAACTAAAATCTGGAAGTTAGGTTCCCCACTGTGGCTCCTTTGGAGAAGCCAGCCTGGGTGGCCTTGGGCAAGCTTCACAGTCCTGGGGGGGGGCAGGTCAGAAGAAGGCAATGGTAAACCATTTCTGTGTATTTTCTATCTAGAAAACCCTGGAAGAGGCTGCCTTCAGTCAGAGTCAACTTAGCAGCAAGCAAAATAAGAAGATAACCATGAACAGCTGAACTCAAAAGTACCGTATTTTTCGCTCCATAAGATGCACCTTTCCATAAGACGCATCAATTTTTTAGGAGAAGAAAACAGGAAAATATAATCTGTTTTCTTCGCTCCATAAGACGCACAGACTTTCCACCCCCCGTTTTGTGGGAAAAAAGTGCGTCTTATGGTGCGAAAAATACGCTAATAAAAAACTTGGCCTAAATTCAATTGCCAGTCCCAACCTGTCAAAACAAATGTAAATCCCTACTCTACGAGTTGGGTCTCGTAGTTGGGACAAGGAACTGTATTCCGGCCTTATATTTCTAAAAATGGGCATACGTTTGCTGAGCTGAACTGCAGCACTGATAAGGATCATCCGCATCCGTGAGGCAATGGCTAAGGAGCAACACTAGTATTTCTGTTCTTTGCACGGTTGCAAGACTACATACTGCACCGAAGGGTTCGAGGCACAGAGTGCTTTAGCTGGAAAAGCTTCTCCTTTCTCTTGCAACTGCAGGCTCCTCTGCTAAGCACAGTTAGGATGTAAACCTTTCAAAAAAGCCCAAAGCTGTAAGAAACTGTAATGTAAGAAACTGAAGAAATATGAGAAACGAGAAACTGACCTCATAGCAAGACAGAACTACAGATTTCTACCAAGCCTATTGATTTGTTTTCTCGACGTGTTGTAACAACTAGGGTGGCGATGTGTCTTACGTTACACAGAGTAGCCTTATTTCTGAAGAACTATATGGGTATGATGATTTATTTGTGACATCATTACCTCAGCCTTTTTCGAGTGAATCCTCTCCCACAACCCTGTGAGGTTAGGTCGAGGGGCGGAAGTTATTAATCCAAATTTACTGGGTGGATTTCCTCACTTGTGGAGGATTTAAACCTTCGATCCTCAGTCCTACCCCAACAACCAAACCACAACACCACACTTCTTTTCAATGAATTCTAAGAACTTATGAGGGCTCTTCCTTTTAGCTTCCTCAGTCTGGCGCCTTATTTTTTTCAACCCCTCCCTTAATGTTTTCTTTCCCACTAATTTGTCTTTTCAAAATTTCTTCCCTGCACTGTTTGTTTGTTTGGTAGGCTCAAGAGCACAAGCAGCTGAGTATGTGTATAAATTATAACTAGCAAAGAACAGAGGAACGGAAGTGTTAAAACAAGTTCAAAAAGTCCCAAGTTCAGTCTTCACACCTCTCTCCAACACTCCGAAGGGCCACGGTCAAAGAGTTGGGTTAGCGTGAGGGTTCGGGCTCCTGTTTTATTCCAAATAAATCGCCGGTCTTACGAGATTTTGAAACAGGTGTAACATTTATTGCCGTGTTTAAGAAGAAACCAGTGTCTGCAAACGCCTTCAAACATTTATCTCCTTCTAACAACGGGTCAGCAAGGGGCTTCCACTCTTCGTCAATCGCTCAATCTCAATCGCTATGCGGAATCGTCGTTAAAAGGGTTCCATGATCCAGGCGAGTCTGTTGACAGGTTGGGGTTCAGGACCTGTCCGGCTTCCCCTTCCAATCAGGGGACTGTGTCCTCGTCCCGGAGTTCCCGGGTGGGGGAGTACATCTGCCAGATTCCTCCAGATACCCCCTCATCTGGCACTCCCTCACTCTCCATTCTAATCTTTCCCTTCTCTCTCTTTCGACCCTTTCCTTTTCTTCTCTTAACTTTCTCCTCCACTCTCTGGTCTCCTTCTCACCCCAATATGATGGTTTGGGGTCTCCTCCGGCAATCAGCTTCCTCTTTGAGTATCCGGAGCCTCTCCCACTTTCTGGTCCATGGATTGTGCATCCAGATCCACTCCCAACCTGGCACCAACTCCCTTTCTTCCCCTTTTATATCTTCTAGTCTTGTTTCCACCTCCACCCTCGGCTTCCGTTCCCTTCCCGGTCTCTCTGACCGTTAGTCTTTTCAAATCTTCCTCTACTGTCCTCGGGTTAGGTTCCGGCGGTCCTGTCTTCTCGGGAGGGGAAACAGGCCTGGATTTCTTTCTGTGTTGTGGGCGGGAGGGACGGCACTCCAGTGAGAAGAATTTTACTGTCACCTCCGCTCTCTACAGTTTTGTTGTTGTTTAGTCGTTTAGTCGTGTCCGACTCTTCGTGACCCCATGGATCAGAGCACACCAGTCTTTTATATCTTGTCTTCCACTGCATCCCGGAGTTGGGTCAAATTCATGTTGGTCGCTTCGATGACCCTGTCCAACCATCTCATCCTCTGTCGTCCCCTTCTCCTCTTGCCTTCGCACTTTCCCAACATCAGGGTCTTTTCCAGGGAGTCCTCTCTTCTCATGAGATGACCAAAGTACTGGAGCCTCAGCTTCAGGATCTGTCCTTCCAGTGAGAACTCAGGGTTGATTTCCTTTAGAATGGATAAGTTTGTTCTCCTTGATGGACAAATAGACTTATATTGTAGGAAGCGATCGTCTACGTCCAGAATCCACCACAGCTTTCACATGCTGACAGAAAACCCTCTGAGGGGAAATGAAATTTATGTGTGATCCCAAGACACTAAAGCAGAAGACCAGATGTTCCAACTTCACACAGAAGGCACACTCCACATCTTTGTACAGTGTGTACTGATGGCGGACGGGACTGCCTGCACAGCAGGACTTTACACAACTCAAGAGGTCACTGTTGCTCTTAGCGCGCCTTCAGACCTTTCGTACTCTGGGCTGACATTCTGGCCATGCTTCCCAGAGACATATGTATTTGTGCAAGAAAAAGAAAATTACTATTTTTAAGCACAGCACAGCCTATTGCCAAGAGGCTGAACTCTTAATAACTTGTAATAAAAACATCTCGGAAGCATTTTTTCCCCTTTTTTGACGAATTCCAGAGAATATTACAACAGGCTCCATTCATCATTATAGTTTGGGACTGAGATTAAAAAACGAATTAAGTAGGAACAATGTTTACATGAAAGGGGGAAAAACGGAGAACTTAAAATGGATTTGGATAACTTGATTAAGAAGTGGAATTTACCCACAAAAGTTCACGTCAGAGTGGTATAAATATACCAGATGGGCGGGATATAAATCAAATAAATAAATGAAAATAAAAAAAATATTTTTTTTTAATAGTGGCCTATAAAGGCATACCCTATTCTTGCATTTGTATTTTGTAATATCCACATACTCCCATTTTTCTTTTCATGGAGCTGTGAAGATACCAAGGAAGAGCCACCCCCACGTACCAACAAGAAGGCACATGGACTCTCAAAACCAGCACAGTAAAAATATTCTTTTTACTTTAATCTGATCCCAATTGGTTACACCTAGTGGGTTTACTAAATTATAATGTCGACCACCTCCGCTGATAACATAAAACAGACCTTGTCCAGATCGGATTTCCCATCTTGCTTTAATGATATTGAGGAGACATACTTTTCGCAGCAGTCCTGATGAAGTGGACAGCACAAAGAGGATGTGAGTGAGGGTTTCCAAAGCACTCTGCTCACATGGACAATATCTTTCGAGATAAGGGTGGTCGACACTATGGAACAAGTAGCTGTTTTCCTCGGTCAATTGTTAGGAGGCAAAGCCCTGATCTCGAACGAATGTATTTGTTTCACACTCCCTGTGAATCCAGAAATCTAACAAATTAACGTGACGATGTTTATTTTATATGCCAATAAAAGTAGTAGTAGTAGTAGTAGTAGTAGTAGTAGTAGTAGTAGTAGTAGTAGTAGTAGTAGTTGTTGTTGTTATTATTATTATTATTATACCCTAATTCCCAGATGGAGCACATGGGTTTTCTGCATCACACTTGCTTGGCTCGTGCCCCTTTGTTTGGAGAACTGGAGTGTGAAATTCAAAAAACACATCTGCCTCAGCGGTAACTTTAAAACATCTTCGTTCCTCATCTAAGACAGAGGTACCTGGCGAAATTCTTCTTGCCAAGAACTTCACATCCCAGAGTACCCTCCCGGCACATCCCATCTCGCCACAAACGTTTGGACTTTTGGTGCTTGCTTTGAAGAAGTGGGAGTCACCCACGAAAGTTCACAGAGTGTATGATTTTGTTAATTTTTTTAACAGTGGCCTAGAAAAGTATCACTGATTCTTCCATTTGTATTTCGTAATGGCCCCATGGCTCCCCTCCTTTATTTCAACTGATTATGAATTTGTAAGACTAAGGTGTTCCAAAATGTTGTTTTCAATCTTTAAAATCCTAGATGACTTGAAACCCTGAAGGACTCACCGATATGTTGAAGTCCTTCTAAAGGGTTCATCGTTGATTTCGGTTAGGTGGGAACTCAGGCCCAAGAAGTTGGGACTTCTCGGTGGTGTTTGCAGATCCATCTCTTCCTCCTGATTCGCCCCTTTGGTCCATGTATCCAGGTGAGCCTTCAGGACCTTCCTCTTCAAAGCCACCTCTAATGAAGTTTGTAACTACAGTGGTGCCTCGCTCAACGAGTGCCTCACTCAACGATGAATTCGCATAACGATGGCCTTTGCTGGAAATTTTGCCGCCTTACCTAACGATGTTTCCTATGGGGGATTTTCACATAACGATGTTTGGGACCTTGCTTCACTTAACGATGACAGTTTTAGGTCCCCTGTTTCGCTTAACTTTTTTTTGACAGCCCTGTTTTCGCTATTTTTAAAATATTCTAAAATGTTTAAAAATGTTGAAAGACCGAAAGAAAGAAACAAGGAAGGAAAGAAACAAGCGATGTTTTCACATAACGATGTTTTTAATGGAACCAATTAGCATCGTTATGCGAGGCACCACTGTATATTTTAGACCCCCTAAACATACTCTGTATGTTTGCAAGAACTGGCAGTTCTCAGTACATGGCTTGGTGCACTGGAAGTTTATTGCAACCACTGACATGCAGTAAAAAAACAGCAAATGAAGTCCTATCAGAGCAGGATGGCAGAAGTCATAAATAAAACAGCTAATTAAAACGAGCCATGTGGCTATTGCCTCTTTTGCTTAATCAGTTTCCACATCAACTAACACTCTACTGCAAATTTTTATGACTTCCTGTTCTCTCTCTCTCTCTCTCCCACTACAGTTAGATTTTACTGAATGGGGATAGGTGAAGAAATTAAGTTTTGTCCATAAATTTATTGGCCTTTTAAAAAACACACACATTTCTACGGACTGCTTTAAAAAAACAAAGCAAGTCCCTCTGACAGACATTCAAAGAATTAACGTCATTACTGGATACAGAAATATCTACAGACCTGTATCGCGTGGCGTGTTCTGTTTCAATCTCTTCCAGATGAAATTCTGCCCAAGGGTCAGGCATGTGCTTGGCCTTCTCGATGGCATGCTTCCAGGCTTCCTGCAGAAATGGAAACTGCTAAGCAAGGATGGTTCCAGATGCTCAGCTCCTACTATTACCAGCCTAAAGGCACCGACGTAATAGCTCTTCTATCTTTCCCACCCTCAAAGATCTGCTGCGGTAAAACGGGAGTGGGCAACGAGCGGTCCCTCCAGGGAGCACATGCAGCCTCTCAATGCTGGCCCTTCTCCTCACTCATTAAAAAAAAAAACGGAAATAAATACTGCATTTTTATGTGTATAAGTATACTTTTGGCTAAAACCTTTAGACTACAAATTGAGGGTCGTCTTATACACGGAAGTAGGCTGAGGAGAGAACAAAAACAAGTGGAGGGGAAGGCAGGGATCAAAGCGATCCTGCAGTGCTTTGATCCCTTTCCCCCTACACTTGCTAAGTCCCACTTAGATTTCTTAAGTTTGGATTAGAAAAGGTTGGGGGGTGTCTTATACATGGGAGCGTCTTATACACGGAAAAATATGGTATCTTTGCCCCAAAAAAGCCACTTCTGCCTTCGAGGGAAAAAATAATAATAGTCATGTACTGTTAAGTCAATTCTGTCTTATGATAACCCTTTCTGGGGTTTTCCAGGTAAAGGACACTCAAAAGTGGTTGACCATTCCATAGGCAGGTTGTTCAAGGCCACACAGGCGGGCTCTGTTTGCAAGGAGGCCCAGGGAGAATCGAATCCCCAAACTCTGGCTCCTGCAGCCAGATATCTAAACCACTGGGCTCTCGAGACAGCTCTTCTGGGGAAGGAGTGACATAATTTTGCCATGGTTTGAGGAGCCCCTAGCACTCCTGGGAAAGACAAAAAAAAATCCAAATATTTTCAGATTATTATTGTTATTATTTAATTGGGCGACTAGAAGGCACAAGGGAACTCTTTCCCTCAATTATTGGAAGAAAAACAGTTTGGGGTGGGGTGGCAGCAGAGGACTATCTCTCCAGATCCAGGGCCAGATATGTCCTATGGTAAAAGAAAAGTAGAAGGATGGGGTGGGGAAAATGGTTACAAATGGAAAAGGACAGCAAACATTTCCAAGCAGAAGACTCCTCAAGATAGCAGTGAGACGTTTTTGTGGAGTTCTTCCATCTTTTCCTCCTTTATAAGTTTTTTTCAGAATAGAAGACCAAACAAGGGAGGGTTATTAAGCAGAGAGTAACGCTGCATGAAAGCCCTTCTTTCTCCATTAAGTGAACAGGACAAAATGACAAGTGCTATAAAAATCTTATATGGAGTTCCAGAAACTTCCTGGCTGTGAGAAACTGAACAGGTGCACAAGAAAGCACTCTCGGTGGTTTATAAAGATGCATTATCTGGACAATTAAAAAAATATTTATATTTTCCATCATACTCCTGGGCCCAGGTTTTACACCAGAGACACAGTGGAAGAGACCCCAGAGTAATGTGGGAAATATAACTGGTCTAACAAATATCTTACAATTGACACAATGAGGTTAGGGCAGCTGTATCCAAATTTGAAAAGATGCTCATGAGATACAGTACATTGTACAGTATATGTCTCTATTATCCGGCTCATAAATATTATTCATATTTTAAATCGTGGTTATGGTAGAGTGAGAATGGCAGCAGAGTCAAAACGTGACAAAACTCCTCCCATGTGCCCTAGAAAAGTTATTTTCCATCATACTCCTGGGCCCAGGTGTTACACCAGAGACACAGTGGAAGAGACCCCAGAGTACTGTGGGATATAGAACTGGTCTAACAAATATCTTACAATTGACACAATGAGGTTAGGGCAGCTGTATCCAAATTTGAAAAGATGCTCAGGAGATACAGTACATTGTATATGCCTCTATTATCCGGCTCATAAATATTATTCGTACTGTATTTTAAATCGTGGTTATGGTAGAGTGAGAACGGCAGCGGAGCCAAAACTCCTCCCATGTGCCCTAGAAAAGTGGTCACCAACCTTGGGTCTCCAGATGTTCTTGGACTCAAACTCCCAGAAGCCTTCACCACTAGCTGTGCTGGCCAGGATTTCTGGGAGTTGCAGTCCAAAAACATCTTGAGGACTCAAGGTAGAGAACCACTGCCTTAGAAAATGCAAGGTGATTTTCTAAATGTAAAATATTTCCTTTAAAATAAATAGAATTGGGGTTCCAGTATCTATGCTCCAAAAGTGTTCTCTTAGGTATTGAAGAATAATGCATATGAAGATAGAGAATGAACACATTAAAAATGCACAGCTGCTTTCTTTTACAATAAACCACTCATTATTTACATGGTCTCTTTCCACGAAGTCCCCCAACTGCTGACCTTAGCTGAGTGACTGTTTGTTTAGGCAGCCGCTTATTCTTTAATTATGCATTGCATTCTTATTTTCTAATGTTCAACGAACGTAGCCAAGCGGAAACATGCAAAAGCAGCATGCAACACACAAAAACATAAAGCAGTATGTAACACATAAAATCTTTTTTTTAAAAAAACCCAAACCAAGCTGACCGCAAGAAGCGAAGTCAGATGTTAGTACATAAGAAATGTGGATGAATATTACAACTCCAGACAGATCACTGGCTCCAAGACCCTATGAGATTTATCCAGATCTAACCATACTTCAAAAAGATCCACTCAAATCCATGGCACTTATGTGAATGATAACCAAGTTAAATCCCATTGATTTCAATGGGTCTAACAAAAGCTATGCATGGATTTAGGTCCAAACCTGTTACTGTGGGACTGTCAGTTTTAAATACTCATGTAATTTTTTATCCATGTACCAAAACAGGACTATTTTAACATTACTCAATCCTCATGTATTTAAAACTGACAGACCATTAACTTCTTAAGAAGGAGGCGAAAAATGCAGAAGAGATCCGTTGTAGCAGCAAATTCTGAATAATTCAGAACTGACATCTGCTTTGTTCACATTTCTCAAGCTGCAACATATATTCCTGAACAACTTTTGTAAAAGAGGGTATTTTAAATTAAAAACTTCGCCCCTTCAAATGCCTATAATAATCTCTTTAGAAGCATTATCAGATTTATTATTCACCTACCCGGCTACGGTCAACCAAACAGCCATGCTTAGAGTGTCGCTGACTGCCATTCTAAAGAACATATATGAGAAACAATTAAGCGGAAGACATAAACAACAAAGGAGCAATAATTTAAATCAGTTCAATTAATTTAAAGCTACATTGTAGTAACTTTTTCAAAGATCACTTCCCTCCAGGAGTCCAGAAAAAAGCACCTGTTTGTACACATGATTTAATCCAACATTATCTAATCCATGGGATACACTAGGAATGTTACTCGTTTGTACACGATTTAATCCAACATTAATCCATGGGATACACTAGGAATGTTACTTCTTCTGTTAATGAGGTAGCTTTATTGTGATCGGTTCACAAATACTAGGATTATTCAAGGCAGTTTGATATATAATGTATTTCAGAGCTTAGAAAGTTAACTTTTTTGGACTATCGTTCCCAGAATCCCCAGGCCAATATGAGCACAGGCAATGATGGCTTGGAAAGTCTGGGATCTGTAGTCCAAAAAGAATTCCCCCCCCCAAAAAAACCTCTCACTTATTAAATAACTAGAAGGACTTTTCTGAGTTTCAAGACTCTCAGTGGGAATAATTTATGCCTGGAGGTTCCATGTTTTGGAGGCTAACTTTGGCTTGATTCCTCTCTATACCATAATGGTAGTGGCATTAATGATCGAGAATACAGTGGTGCTTCGCTTAACGACGATAATCCGTTCCAGGAAAATTGTTGTTAAGCGAACATTGTAAAGCAAAATTAAAAACCCCATTGAAACGCATTGAAAACTGCTCAATGCATTCCAATGGGGTAAAAACTCAGCGTCCAGCAAAGATCCTCCATACGGCGGCCATTTTTGCTGCCTGTATAGCGCGGATTCCATCCCTAAACACAGTGGGGAGCCATTTTAAGCACCCGGCGGCTATTTTGAAAACCCGACGATCAGCTGTTTTGGATCGTCATAAAGCAAAAATCGGTTCCCAAAGCAGGGAACTGATCATCGCTAAGCGAAATTCCCCCATTTAGACAATCGTTTTGCAATTGCAAAAAGATCATCGTAAAGCAGATTCGTCGTAATGCGGGGCAATCTTTAAGCGGGGCACAACTATATTCTAATGATTATTAAGAATGGAGAATGGATGATAATATACTTATAATCATGGATAACCAGCAAGGGTCCTTCAGCCAAATCCAGCTCCATGAGGGGTAGAGCCTGCTTCAACCCAGAGGTCAAGCGGAATGCTTGTTTTGTTGAGACCATTATTTCTGGAATCACCAAGCCACCACAGTCAGGGCAAAATAACTTGGGTTTTTTTGGAAGCTGTAGTTAGTTATTTTCTTTTTTAATTTTGGATCGGAAATTCCACAGTCCTCCATTCCAGAATTCTAAGACATATAGATACTTTCTGGGCACTTGAATGCGCTCACCTGGCAGAAAGGCCTAAACTGGAAGGCTCTGAGGCTTAGCTAAGCTTAACTTCCTCCAGGTTTTCTGTTCCTGCAGTAGTGCCACCTAGAAGCTTTCTTTCTGAACAGGAAGCCTGGAGGAGCTATGCCCAGCTAAGTCTCAGAGCTTTCCAGCTGAGGCCTTTCCCCCAGGTGAGCCACACCTAGGTGTCTATCTATCAGACAGAAGTCCCAGAATGAAGAATTGTGCAATTTGCAGAAATCTGAAAATCCCATCCCTAACTGTAATCCAACAAGGTAACTTTCCCTACTCATAACGCCAGTGGTATCAGCCAGGCGATCAAGTAGGCAGCTCAACATTCATTGCTTAGCTCCCAAAATGCCTCCTTCTGACCCAGCCCATAAACACAAAAGGACTACAGTCGTGCCCCGCTTAACGATTGCCCCACATTACAACCAATCCGCTTTACGACAATCTTTTTGCGATCGCAATTGTGATCGCAAAACGATGGTCTAAATGGGGGAATTTCACTTAGCAGTGATCGGTTCCCTGCTTTAGGAACCGATTTTCGCTTTATGACAATCAAAAACAGCTGATTGTCGGGTTTTCAAAATGGCCACCGGGTGCTTAAAATGGCTCCCCGCTGTGCTTAGGGACGTATTCCTCGCTATACAGGCTTTTCAACGCTTTTCAACGCGTTTCAATAGGGTTTTTAATTTCGCTTTACGATGTTTTCGTTTAACGGCGATTTTCCTGGAACAGATTATCGTCGTTAAGCAAGGCACCATTGTACATGTGTTTGTGGGCAAACCGAGCAACCATTATCGTCCACAGCTGCCTCACATGCATTGTGGGCACACCGAGCATCCATTATCGTCCACAGCTGCCTCACATGCATGAATGTCTTCCTGCCTTACAGTATTTTTCATGTACACAATTGGTCTATGATGCCAAGCGCACATGCTAGGGAAACTACAGGTTAGTCTAGACGTGAACAAACAGGTCATAACACTTCCCGAGAGCAGATACAAGTCTGGGAAAATCCACTGAAGCTGTAACGTTCATCAAGATAATTAGTGACAAGAAGCAAAGCGGGCAAGAAAGCTTTGGCCTCACTTTTCATGCCAGGCTAAAAAGATTTAAACAAAGACAGTCCTTACCCTGATATTGAAAGAACTCCGAGGAGACGCGCTGGACGAGTACTGATCATTTTTGGCCAGGTTTCTGTAATAGTTGTTGACCCTCTCAGTCCCTGCCTTGTTCAAGACAGGGTCATGATCGTCTGTTATGGGGCAGATGTAATAACTATCTTCCTCATCACTGTCGCCATCATGATAGTTCCCCTGGACAGCTTTTCCTATCTTTGCATTGCTGAGACATTCCATGTGAAAAATAAGATCTTCGTCCGCCATGCTGGTAGAAGCAGAGCGCTCCTCGTGAGATGACTGACGAAGCCAGTGTTACAATTAAAAGGACCTGCAAAGAGGAAAGTCAATATGCAAATTACAGGAAGGGTGGGAACAAGGAGGAAATGGCAGGTAGAAATCAGCATTTAGGCATCTCTGTTATGACCACAACCTGCAAAATATATAGCCTCAAGCAAGCACTAACCGTTAGAAACTTGGCTACATCGGTCACATGATTTGGTGTGGAATGAAAAATACATGCATCAACTTCTTAAGTAGTGGCAATTGACTATTGAGATCTATGCTATTTGACTTATGCTGGCATATGTAAGCAACAAGATTCTGGCCATTATTAGAGATATCAGATTCTCAGCTAAAGGACATGAAAGATAGCCAATAACCGGCTGCGTTCATTTGTTAAATTATAGGTAGTCATAACATTGTCTTGCATTGACATGTTGGCTTTTACAAATTTCATCATTTACCCTATTAATTTTTTTATTAGTAAAAAGACAGTAGTGAAGTAATGCTTTAATAAATTGAAAGCCTTTTAAAATTAGTTTTTTATTTTTAACACAACAGTGCTATAACATAGCATTGAACCGACAAAGATTTCAAAAACAGACAATTATGGCCTCTCTCTTTTTCACTGAAGATACACAGGAATAATTCATTGGCTACTGTATGAGATTCTAACAGTCACAGTTCAATCATGTGCCGCTTTTTCAATCTGTGCCATTAACCAGAATTTCACATGCCCCGCCTGCATGTACTGTCACTACTTTGTTCTCTCCCTACTGTTTTTAGAACGTGATTGTATCACACCAAACAATATTGGACTACAACTCCTCATTTGTCCGGTGATGGCTGAAGGGAGCTGCAGTTCTGTAATAACATGTGGATGGAAACACACATACACTTGTGCCTCACTTAACGACGATAATCCGTTCCAGGAAAATCGCCGTTAAGCAAAAACATCATAAAGTGAAATTAAAAACCCCATTGAAACGCATTGAAAACCGTTCAATGCATTCCAATTGGGTAAAAACTCACCGTCCAGCGACGATCCTCCATACGGCGGCCATTTTCGCTGCATGTATAGCGAGGAATCCATCCCTAAGCACAGCGGGGAGCCATTTTAAGCACCTGGCGGCCATTTTGAAAACCCAATGATCAGCTGTTTTTGATGGTCGTAAAGCGAAAATCGGTTCCCGAAGGAGGGAACCGATCATCGCTAAGTGAAATTCCCCAATTTATACCATCGTTTTGCGATCACAAAGCATAAAGCGCATTCAGTGTAATGTGGGGCAATCGTTAAGCGGGCCATGACTGTACCTGTTTCTGCGTATGACTTCCTTGGGTCAAGAATCTACCTTTTCCGTTTTGTAAAAAGCAAATCAAAGTGTGCTGCTTATGTACCACCCCATAGCGCTTCAAGCACTCTCTGGGCGGTTTACAAGTTAATTATACAAGCTACACCTTGCCTCCCAGCAAACTGAGTACTGTACGCAATTTACCAACTGTGGAAGGATGGAAGGCTGAGTCAATTTGGGGTTGGCTACATGAACCCATTGGAACTGAGCTCAGCTTGTGAGCAGAGGCTTAACTGCAGTGTACCCACTGTACCATTAAGCTCTTCTGGCATTCAGTAAAAGAAAAAAAATATTTTTGAAATACCAATACAGTGGTGCCTCGCTTAACGAGCGGCTCGCTGAGCGATGAAATCGCTTAACGAGGTGCTCTGGGCCATCGCTGGAGCATTCGCTCAGTGATGGCCCCTATGGCGATTTTTCGCTTTGCGATATTCGCTTTGCGAATCGCTTAGCGAATATCGCATAACGAAGCCGGGGAGAACAGCTGATCGCCGGTTCCAAAATGGCCGCCGGAAGGTCTGCGCCGCATTTTCGCGCCCTGCCCTCACTTACCGAGGGCACGAAAATGGCGGCGCTATGGAAGAACCTTGCACAGCGGTGAGTTTTCAAGCCATAGGAACGCACTGAACGAAGTCCAATGCGTTTCTGTGGCTTTTTTATTCCCGCACAGCAATGTTTCGCTATAGCGAAGGTTAATCCGGAACGGATTAACCTCGCTATGCGAGGCACCAGTGTAAACTACAACTTTTGTCCTAGTTGCTCACAGTTTCTTTAAAGGGCTACAATTACAGAGACATCTACTACCCTGTGTATCTGTCAAATCTATAAAAGGGATTATTTCCCTAAAAAATGCTCCTAAGACTCAACCCATAATTCTTCTGCTGTGCCCCAAACAATTGGAAATGCTCTAGCAAGTTGGCCTATGAATAAAAACTAACATCTGGCATTAAGAAGTGTGTTAGTATAAATATCTTACACCACAAGCATGTTATCACATGGCAGTCCTATAAGAGTATACTGTATTTTTCTGTGTATAAGATGCTACTTTTCCTTAAAATCAGTAAAATCACTAAAAAAATTAGGGGGCGTCTTATACATGGAAGTAACAAAACGGCCCGTACCTTGCGGCCCCATAAACAGGCTTCCTTCAATAATGAGGCTTAGCTTCCTACAGTAAGGAGACTTAGCTCCCTCCAATCACAAGCCTTATGGAACTGACATCAGCTGATGTTGAACAAACCAAGTGGAACACACCTCCTTGGAGGTGGAGCCTGTAGGCTCAAATTCAACAGACTCAAAATGTCCAAGCGTTCTGAGCCTAGAGGCTGAATCCTCAAAGCTAAGTTTTCTTAATTTTTGTGTTAGAAAGGGGGGGGTTTTATAAACGGAAAAATACGATATCTAGTTACAGTTGTGCCTCGCTTTACAACTGCCCCGCATTATGACAAAACCGCTTGACGACGACGTTTTTGCAATCGCAAAACGATGATCTAAATGGGCTTGTTTCGCTTTGCGATGATCGGTTCCCTGCTTCGGGAACCGATTCTTTGCAAATCGATGATTTTCTAACAGCTGATCGGCGGTTTCAAATGGCTGCTGAATTGTCCAGTATAAAATAACTGTATGCTGTTCTTCCTTCTGTTCAACATTCTTCATTCGTTACATTCAATGAAAACGCTATTCTTTTTTATTTTCATTTTCATCTCTCACCGTGAGACTTAGTGTATAACACATTTAAATAATTGAAACTGTTTGTCTTCTTACTTGAGGAATTTTGCCGCCTAAAAAGAAAATAAAGATGCGCCCTTTTCCAATTCCTGGGCAAAACCTAACTGAACTGGCCACTCCGTCTTTCTTCAGCATTGCTGATGGAACAGCACTCTTCATGGAGAAAATTAAAGTGAGAGACACATAGTAGATCATTTAACACAAAGCTCTTCTCTTCCAAAACACTATGATGGCACATCCAATTTCTGCCTCCCAAGACAACAGCCTCCATCTGCCCAACAGCTGGCAGTCCAGGATAATGCACATGTAAGTTTCCCTTCATGAATTTCTTCCCTGGTTTCTTATCAAGTTTATGCTTCTTTTAACATTTAAGCCTACTCCTGATTTTGCCTCTTTTCTCTCACTTCTCCTCCCTGGTCTCTCCATTCAGCTAACATTAATCTTACCAACGGTGTCACTTCCTGCCCTGCCCTTTGGCAAGACTGCTCCCAGCGGCTTGATTTTTGCAGGCTGACGCAGGACCGAACAAAACTGTCCAAAATCAGGCACAATGCAAGGCAGAGATCTAGGAAACAATGTGCTACTGCCGATTCACATGAAGCAGGTGCAGGAGATCTAAAGGCAAAGTCCAAGAACAGTCCAGACTCAACCCAAGCTGACCACAAGAGAAAACAAAAAGGGAGAGTCCAAAGAGCACAGCTAGGCAATCCAAAAGTCGTTCATAGCCAAAGAGGAAACAGCTGGGGTCAGAGTACAGACCTCCAGGCAAAATCTGGAGCAAGAGGAGACATTGGCTGAAATTGATCAGTGTAGCAAGTCACAACTAAAGGCACTGAATCAATGAAACAGATTAACTCACTCACCAAATAAATCTCCATTAATTCAATCATTCCAGCTCTCCCTTGATGTCGGACTTGTTCAATGGGCCTTCTCTATTCCCTCCCCCTGCTCTCTTCTATGGGTGGAATACTCTCCCCTTAGATCTGGAACGGGGAACATCTGGCCCTCCAGTTCTTGAATTGCAGCTACATCACCCTAAACAGCACAGCCACTGGTGAACAAAGGCAAGAACTGCAGGCACACATTCCCAATTAAATATTCAGCATCTCACCTCTGTTCTTCGATCCTGGCCGTAAATGCTGGAAGAGCAGCCAAAACAATACATCCACAGATAAGAGATACAGTGGTGCCTCACTTTACGATTGCCCCGCATTACGATGAAACTGCATTATGACGATCTTTTTGCGATCGCAAAACAATGGTCTGAATAGGGGTTTTTCGCTTTGCGATGATCGGTTCCCTGCTTCAGGAACCGATTCTTCGCAAACCGATGATTTTCAGACAGCTGATCAGCGGTTTCAAAATGGCCACAGGGTTAATAAAATGGCTCCCTGCTGTTTTCTGGGACGGATTCCTCGCAAGACAGCCACCGAAAATGGCCACCCTTTGGAGGATCTTCGCTGGACGGTGAGTTTCCAGCCCATTGGAACGCACTGAAGGGGTTTCAATGCGTTTCAATGGGCTTTTTATTTTCACATTACGACGTTTTCGTTCAACAGCAATTTCGCTGGAATGAATTAACGTCGTAATGCAAGGCACCACTGTAATAAATCTCAGCTTGGATTTTTGGGGCTACAAATCCCACAATTGTCCACTCTGGGCGTTCTACCAAACAGACAAACAACCTATGGGTACCGAAATGTGGCTCAACTGGGAGAGAGGCCTAGGCTGCAAGGCTCTGAAACCTAGCTAGGCCTAGCCTCACCTAAGCTTCTTATTCCTGCCCCAGTGCTAGCTGGGAGCTTTCTTTCTAAACAGGAAGCCAGGTGAAGCTAGAACCCGGAGCCTTCCAGTTTAGGCCATTCTCCCGGTGAGCCATACTTAGGTGTCTGTCAAGCAGAACTCCCAAAATTTAAAATTATGAGATTTGTAGTCCAAAATTCCATCCCTCATATCCAAGAATTGTGGCCACAAACAAACAAAGGAGAATAAAGAGATACAGACATTTCTTTCTTTCATTAGAAAAGTGATACTGTATTTTTCTGTGTATAAGATGCTACTTTTTCCTAAAACCATTACACTAAAGATTGAGGGGCGCTGGAGGTGGAGCTTGTAGGCAGTGCTCAGATTCAACAGGGACTCAAAAAGTCTGACCGTTCTGAGCCTAGAGGCAGAGTCCTCAAAGCTAGGTTTTCTTAATTTTGGATAAACGTGTGTGGGTGTTTGTGTGTGAGAGAGATAAATGGAAAAATACATTATTTTGTCTGTCAATGAAATGTTTCACCCAATCCCTGACTTTGTTAGATAAAGATGTAATACCCAAGCCACTATACACTCACACATATACACACCACTCAGAAGCCTTTAGTCCCATAGTCAACTGATGGGGCCAGAAATATGTTTGGTTTCGGTTCTATTGTCCTAAGACAACCGGCAATTGGAACATAACGATCTTTCTACAAGGAAGGGAAATTCCATACTTGCTTAGAACATGCTATCAAAAGGCACTACCTGTACTCTGCCCTTTCCCCAAGGAAGACAAAATGTCACCCCACCAGGCAATGCAGGTCTCGATATGCAACATGGGGGCCAGAAATATGTTTGGTTTCGGTTCTATTGTCCTAAGACAACCGGCAATTGGAACATAACGATCTTTCTACAAGGAAGGGAAATTCCATACTTGCTTAGAACATGCTATCAAAAGGCACTACCTGTACTCTGCCCTTTCCCCAAGGAAGACAAAATGTCACCCCACCAGGCAATGCAGGTCTCGATATGCAACATGTCGTAGTTATCCAGGTCAGGGAGGCAGCAACACAAGTTTGGACTTGCCGTTCATGCTACCTACTCCATGAGGAAAGAAGACATGGCAGCAGGAAAAAGCAAAAATTCTCTCTTCATTGTCCTTGGCTTGTGAACCATACAGTGCAATAAAAATGTTCCAAGCTCTATATTATCTCATTAATCACAGTGGGAACTACCTTACACTTGAAAAGATGCTTAGAAAGACAGTAAGAAAGATGGCCCACAATCTTTCCACATCACTCCGCTCACTTTTTAATATAAATTTATGGGGTGTAGGCTGTTAGCCTGCTGTCCTGAAAGCAACCAAAGTTTTCTGCCCCATTGAAGACCTACAAAGACAAAACTAAATCAAACTTCTTCGTATTTAAATTGCCATAAAGCTTTCTGTTCTGTTTTATTTATAAAAATATGGGCCAGTATCCTGTTCAGTTTTCCACACATATGCCTAGAAATGTGGGAGCGGCTGCGGCGAGGCAGAAAAATCCAGTTGTATTTTTCGCACCATAAGACGCACTTTTCCCCCACAAAACGGGGGAGGTGGAAAGTCTGTGCGTATTATGGAGCGAAGAAAACAGATTATATTTTCCTGTTTTCTTCTCCTTAAAAATTGGTGCGTCTTATGGAAAGGTGCGTCTTATGGAGCGAAAAATACGGTACCTGTCCAGTCACATGAGTACGTGACCAGGTATGCAACCAGACCTTTATGGCTAAGTTGTAGCCACTTCCATGTTCACAGGCAGAAAACTACACCCAGGATGTTTTATCTGTGTAGTTGTCACCCAGTCTATCCTGTTGAGGATCTCAAAACATCTTTTCTGTTTCCTGCAGTGTTTTCAGAACAAACCTTGCAGCAAATCTCTCTCTTCCTCCAATGTTCTGCCTTCTTCTTTTCTTAAAATGCGATCAGTCCACTGAGAACCCAACAACAAAGTGATATGACTATGTAGAACGTGTGCTTTGCACGTAACTTATCTCAGGTTCAACTGCTGGTATTTTTAAACCCCTGCCTGAAACACTGACTCTTTGTGGAGTGTGGGAGTAGACAGTCTTCTAAGGTGCAGAAGCTACAGCCTCCCATCCCTGACTTTGAACAGTCCCGTTTCCTCTGTGACCTCCTTTCCTTCCAATTTCTTCTTGCAGAAATAGAGGCAGGGTTACTGAAAATGCCGCCTTGAGCCCTCTAAGGGCATTTTTTAAAATCAAACACATCTGGAAGGAATGTGGGGAACCCCCAGGAGTACAAGTAACTTCTCAAACATGAAAAAACTGCCCCCATCCATTAATAAAGCACAAATAATAAAGTAATCATGTGTTGTTAAGTCAATTCTGACTTATGGCAACCCTTTTCGGGGTTTTCAAGGTAGAGAATACTCAGAAGTGGTTTGCTATTCCCTTCTTCTGGGGGAGCCCCGGGGACTGTGCAGCTGGCCCAAGGCCACCCAGGCTGGCTCCTCTACTTGCAGGAGGCACAGGGGCAAAGTGAACTGCCAACATCTGGCTGCCAAGCCAGATACCTAAGCCACCGAGATATCCAGCAGCTCAGTGCTAGAACACAAGGAGACTTTATTTTTCCAAAAAAAGTCTTCTTTTTTTAAAAAAAATATATTGTATTTTTGAGAACAGGGGTGTATGAGGCTCACAGGCTGCACGTTGCTCTTATAGAATAAGAGTGGGAAGGAGGACAACTTGGAAAAGCTACAAGTGGCTGCTATTAAGTGGGTGCCGTTCACCTTAGGGAACTGGGAACTGCAGACAAAAAAAAAGAGAGGAAAATTTCTAAGCTCTGGGTAGAAGGAAGATCTACTTCTGCTGATAGCTCTTTGAGTGATTAGCCGCAGATCACCAAGGAATTTTGACTCCCATTTGTTTAATGGTAGCAGGTCACGAAGAGTCACGACTTAACGACTGAACAACAACAAGCAGGAACAAAATTATTCTATCCTAATAACTCATACTGCTGAAATCACAAAAACTCAGCATAACGAGGAAGGGATTTCTGCATGCAAAGACAGTGAACTCTATAGAATGCAAAGGAATTCCCAAAGCTCAGTATTCTTTCATTCTGTGGATCTCAAGATTCTTGTAAAAAAAAACAAAGTCAATTCCACAAGTCTGAAGCCTACCAATGCCTGATGTATTGAGCTGGATGGGGGAAAAATAACCAGGTGGGAATATTCAGTCTGAAAAGATTATTTTGCTCCAAAACTCACATCGAGAATGCCTGTGTGGATGATGAAAAGAAACAAAAGCATTACCTCTTGTGGACTAACTTCCACAACAGGAAGTTGAATGCAAGCCTCCGGCGTTCACAAAGCTCTTCTTTGTAGAAATGGAGCAGTAGACTTCAAAGCAACACACGCCACCAGAACGACAACTCTGTGGGTTAAAAAAAAAAACCAACAATTCTGTTATCGCCAGCGCTGAGACTTGGACCATCGTAATAAATCTTCCGATCAGTGCCTGTGTGGTGCTTCAACCTCATCTGAACTCTGTTATACTCTAAAATTAGAGATGGCATTTCCCCAATGAAATACAGAGCCTAAGTAGTCGTGGCTGGAGGAAGACAAACATCTGTGGCTCTTAAAACTCTAACAGACCTTCTTGCTTTCTTTTTCCACCTGAATGAAGGTCTTCCTATTTTTCCATGTATTTAGCTTTTTTGGGCAGCCCTTAATTTCCGAAGATGGGTGTTTTATTGGCTGGCCTGCCTCTAGTTTTTCTATTTTTCATCATTATTATATTGTTATAATTTTACTGTAATAACAATTTTATTATCATTATTATACTAGCATCATTTCAAATTTCATAAGCCCAAACTCCGTGCAAAGTCATAGAAGGACAGGGGAGAAATGTCCAGATCAAATCAATGTAACACTCTATTTACATATATGGAAGATGGGAGATTCAGGACAAATAAAAAAAACAGCCATTCTTCACACTGTGTACAGTCTAAATAAATGACGAAATTCTGCTGCCCCCAAATCCTGGGCAGAACATCCGTTTCAAAGGCACTGGCAAGGCAGGTCCCTACTCTGACACCATTTTGAAGGTTTCCCATAAAACCCTGGAGCAACGTTACCATGGAGATCTAAAATGCCAGCCATCCCGGCCCAAATCGCCTACTTCCAGGGCGAAAAGGAGCCCCCACTTCAGTTCTTAAGACCCTGGCAGCTGCCAACATGGCAGAAAATGGCGTAAAAAACACTCCTGATGTTTGCTTCTGCAGCAAAGCTGGTCTAGATGGGGCCACATCTCACTCGAGCATGAATTTTTTAAAGAAAAGGCAGAATTAAAACGTATGCCATCAACAAGGCCGGACCAATTTTGATACGGTGTATTACCTTCTAAACCAGACTTCCCCAACCCAGTAGCTTTCAGATGTTTTAGATCAGTGGTCTCCAACCTTAGGCCTCCAGATGTTCTTGTACTGCAATTCCCAGAAGCCTTCACCACCACCTCTGCTGGCCAGGATTTCTGGGAGTTGAAGTCCAAGAACATCTGGAGGCCCAAGTTTGGGGACCACTGTTTTAGATGACAACACTCTTTCCTGCCCCCCAGCCAACACAGCCAAGAGATCCCAACATATCTGGAAGTTAAGGAAAGCTGTTATCGGCTCCATCCCAAGTCAGAACTAGCCCAACGCTTTTAGAGACAACCAACAAATTCTTTTCCTTTTATAGCCTGCGTTTCTCGTTGCAGAGCAGAAGAGAATGTGGGACCCACTCAAGTTGAATGGGGTTATTTGCTTCTTATTTCTTCTTTTAATAGCTTACAGTTTTACTTCCTCTGCGCTGACAGCTGCACCAAACTTCTGGATGAGCTGCCTGGATGCCAAAGCAGATCATCCAGGAGATGAGTTGCTAAGCAGTTACCTCCTCCAAGTGCAGACTAAGTGGTTTATTTGTTTTATGTACCTCATTTATAGCCCGGCGCTTGGATGTAATGCCTTAAAATATCTGTAACATTATTTGGGGTGTGTGTGTGTTTCACGCATGCACACAAAAAGAGCATGACAAACTTCCTTTTTCAAATAACAGAATGACTGGAAACTAAATTACTCCCCCCCATCTCTTAATAGAACAAGTAATAATCATTCCAGTTATGGGGTGGCATGAAGGGATGTGTGTTGTTGTTGGGGTTTTTGCCATTTTTCTAGGTTAACGGCATTTTTGACAAGAACACCACCAACCACAATGTAACCAAAAAGTAATGGGTTACGAATAGGCCACTCATAATGGATAATACATGATGAACAGAGAACTGCAGATTATTTTGGGGGCGGGGTTAGACTACAGTTCCCAGAATTCCACAGGCATGTAGTCCAACAAAACAAAACAAAACACCTGGGTTATCTGGAGGAATTCTGGCACTCCAAATAGTTGTCTATTTTCTCTCAGTGGTTGTACACACCTCTCCAAAAAACACAACTCCCAACCCCAAACACACCGTATCCAATCGTCACTACATTCCTAATAAGTAACTTTCCGTTTTCAGGTATGACACACGTTTGCTGGCTTGGATCCAGCAGAAAGAATAAAATAAACAGAGCTTAAGAAAAGGGAGGGGGGAAAAACCCTAGCCAACTCTTCTTAAGCAAAGGAGTTTACAATCCAGTACAAGAAAAAAACAAAACAAAAGAGAGAAATAGAATATATAAGATAAATATTTTTATTTTAGTTTGGGGGTTTTTTGCACATGATGAAAAAAGGCTGAAGTGAAAACACTTTCACAATCAGGCAATCCACATCCTGTTTGAACATAGCCTTTGGAAGGACATTGCTGAAAAGCACACACGTCACGAATATGGCTTCATTCATTTTATTTTATTTGGTTCATTTGTAGCCCAGGGCTTGGAAGTACAGTGATGCCTCGCTTGACGAGGATAATCCGTTCTGTTGAAATTGCTGTTAAGCGAAATCCTTGTCAAGCAAAATTAAAAAACCCATTGAAATGCATTGAAAACCGGTTCAATGCGTTCCAATGGGCTAAATACCTCAGTGTCCAGCGAAGATCCTCCATAGGGCGGCCATTTTCCGGTGCCTGTAAAGCGAGGAATCCGTCCTAAAGCACAGTGGGGAGCCATTTTGCACATGGAACCGATCATTGTTAAGCGATTTTTCCCTATAGGAACATCATTTTGCAATCGCAATAGCGATCACAAAAACTTCCTTGTAAAGCGGTTTCATCGTTTAGCAAGGTAATCGTTAAGCGAGGCACCACTGTAGTTAACACCTTAATCTGGGGTATAATTTGACAAGAAGAAACGTGGAGGGGGGCATCAGAATCAGTCATACCTTATGTGAGGGAAACGGTGGTGGTGGAGAAATTTTGCAGGAAAACACACACCTCCTACACCTTTACTTGAGAGAATTGGGGTGGTGTTGGCACAATCCTGTTACACACGCACGCACACCTTACGCAGGAATAGAGCCTTATCAGAGAGAAATGTTGTGGGGTTATTATAAATTACAGAGAGATTCAGAAAGTACTCAAAATGGAAATCTCAAACACAAAACATCCCAACCCTCTTGTCTCATGCTTGAGCCCTGAATACGGAGTGTCCCACTGCCTGCAGAAGTCGCTGAAATCAATCCAGCCATCCGTTCTTCAGATCTTATCTGCACCACAGAAGTTGTAACAGGGAGCTGTTCACTTCCCGGAGAACTCCCTGTACTTTCACTGTTTGAACAACACGCACCCACACCCTGGCACACACAAGTGCCAAAATAAAACAGACCTTTCAAACCAAGGATTCTGCCTCTACCGCTGGTGCCATCTTGAGAGTGGGCACACTGGGGGGAGAGAGAGAGAGAGAGAGAAACGCATGCAGATGATGTTTCTTCCTGCCAAAAGAAAGATAAAGATCGACGGCTAAAGTCCAGGTTGATCTACAAACAGTAGTCGAACTGGTCTGGTAACTCCGGAGATGAATTTATTTTAATGCACAGCCCAATAATGTCCTGTTCTCTCTACGGAGTTGTGTTACATACACTCTGCACTTCCCCTCCTCCTGCTAAAAGGTCTTCCAAATTCTGCACAGAAACAAATAATGTCCTGTTCTCTCTACAGAGTTGTGTTACATACACTTCCCCTCCCCCTGTTAAAAGGTCTTCCAAATTCTGCACAGAAACTTTAGTCCAGCTGTCATCACGCTACACAAATAGCTTTGCGCTGTGCTTTTCTGGTCATCTTTCCAATTCTTTGCTTTTTAAAGTCTCTCTCTTTTTTTGTGCCACATATTTGTTTCCATATTATTATATAAGTTAATGTGTTTTTTTTACTATGACAACACCTTCCATACCATTTTGAATATTTTAATTTACATATCTGTTGTTATACTCCCCTCAAGGCATTTGGTCCTTGAATTGGGAGAAAGGAAGGATACAAGTGAAATGAAATAAACAAGGAAAGACTGAACTTCCCAAGTTCTGTGCAATGTCACAAATGAAACCAATATGTTTATACCTCTTTTTTCACATTGTTTATGGCTCCAGTGCTAGATTTCAAAAGGCAACACTTATAGACTTCCTACCCTATCTGCAGCTTTAAGAACTAGAAAAATGTTCTCTAAATTGATATCAAAACCACAGGAAACCCTCCACCCCCACCCAAATTATTATCTCCTCTCCTCCCTGAATCATGTTACTATCTGACAATAATGTGCATTTATTCCTGCATGCACTCAAGAGCATAAGCTTGATTTTGTACATTATTTTAATCCTAAAAGATCAAACTGCATTGAGAAGTGGAGTAAAGTTTTTACATATCTTTGGACAAATACCACCTGAAAAGATTGGGGGACCCCATATGGTATTGGAGATAGATAGATAGATAGATAGATAGAAGTGCAGGAAAGTTTTTACATATCTTTGGACAAATACCACCTGAAAAGATTGGGGGACCCCATATGGTATTGGAAAATTGATTTTATTAGTATAGCAGGCCTTGAAACAAGTACAGTGGTGCCCCGCATAGCGACGATAATCCGTTCTGGAAAAATCGTCGCTATGTGGATTCGTCGCTATGTGAAATAAAAAAGCCCCTAGGAATGCATTAAAACCCATTGAATGCGTTCCTATGGGCTTAAAACTCACCGTTATGCGAAAATCCTCCATATGGCCACCATTTTCAGTACCTGGTAAGCGAGGAATGGGCGCGAAAACACAGCGGGCGCCCATTTTTTTAACCCAGCGGCCATTTTTGAACTGCCGATCAGCTGTTCTAAAAACATCGCTATGCAAAAATTGGTAAGCGAAACAACTTACAGATCACCGCAAAGCGATTTTTACTATTTAAAACATCGCAATGCGATCGCAAAAACGATCGCAAAAAAATCGTCGCTATGCAGATTCGTCGTTAAACGAAGCGCTTGTTATGCGGGTCACCACTGTATCTTAACTAGCTTTCAAGGAGCTGGATGACTGGGTCATAACCTCAAGAAAGCCAAGGACTGTATGCAACATTTCTGCACCACTGTCTTTGTACACCATGTTCTTATGCAACGTTGCATGCAGAGTTCTAGGCTTACAGTAGGCCTTTCTTTACATTCAACAGAGGTGGATCTGTTGACCGTCATGTGCTTTCCCTTGGTCCACAATAAAGCATCAGGGTAGCTTTCCAGTAACAGAACACAGCACTGTCAACAGAATCAAGCAGTAGGATATTTTGCAACTGCCTGGCCCGCAGAAGCACAGATTACATCATTTTAACATAACTGTAGGTTTGGTAGCTGTGCAGTTTGGTAGCCGAGTAGACATGGTCTAGAGGGGCGGGACATTACTGTAGGTTTGGTAGCTGTGCGGTTATATTTACCAAAAAAAAATTAAAAAAAATCACCACCATCTGTTCCCTTTCCAGATCCACTCCCTGTCCTTATGTGGACAAAGAAATATGCAGGCTTGCTCATAAGCAAATCTGCTGACCCAGTGTCTTTGGCGCTGTGACACAACAGCAACGCCCTGCTATCAAATGGGCTGAGAAAATTCTCTACTGAGATAATGGAAAAGCAGCCCATGGCAGGTAGCAGAAAAATCGGCTGTTTTGTTCCGTTTTTGATTCCTTTTAAAGCACGAACCGCCTTCTCCCAGGCAGGCAAACAGATCATGTGTGCTCTGGGCTAAATTACAGAAAGTCTAATTCCATTACATAACAGTCAGAGCCATTAAAATCCACAAGACTACGCTTCCGCACACCCTTTTACAGTGCAATCCTGGGTCTGCTGACTCAGCTCTCCATCTCACTGTGATCAATGGAACATCTTTACCCAGGAGGAAGCTCAGCAGGGCTTATTTTACAAGTCACTATACACACGATGTGGCTAGAAGGCTAGTTTTCTAAAAGAATGCTCTCTCCATGAACGGCACAGTGACATCACCTAGCATCCCAAACAAACTGTTCCTGCCTCTGAACAAATATCACATATGACACATGCCTAGAAAAAGCTAGGCCAAGCAAAAAACGCTCTGAAAAAGCATAACATCACATACTGTCGCTAATTAACAAGTGGCCTCCTCCTCTGGGGAGGAAGGGAAAAAAAAACATCTATTATCTTTAGCTTCCTAACTCCTGCATCTTCTGTCATGCCCAAAAAGCTATGATTTTCCTTTTGTCAAAAAAATAAATAAAATAAAATAAAAAACCAAAAGGTATGATTTTCCTTTTGTCAAAAATAAAATAAAATAAAAAACCACAGCAAAACAAATGTCACCCCATTCCCCACCCCTCCCTGCAAGGTTGCCAATAAACAGCATTGGAATAGATTTCAGTGAAGGATAGATCATAGCAACCAAATGCAACGATTCCATCTATCTCTCTGCCTGGGGAAAAGGCCACAGATGTGGGGAATACACATAACACAACTTTTGCAACCAGGCAGCAGATAAAAGGCTTAGCATTCACCTTATTTCAGAATGGGAGAGCAAGTGATTCCATATGGATCTCCATCCTGCTAGAGACCGAGGTTGTTTTGTCCTGCTTGGGATATTTATATCTAAACTCTTCTCCAAAGCAGCCTCTGTGGCTGTTTTCCTCCTCGCTTGTATTCCAACAAAAATATTATGAGGAAGATCATGCAGGGAAAAAAAAAACTCTAACCCCCCCCAAGGGTCACCTACATACCAGCTGAAAATACATTTATTTATAGAACTTTTTGGAGGGGGGGAGGAAGTGTTAAATTGGTTTAGCTGCCATTCCTTGCTAGCAGTGATACTCCATTTTCTTAGATATTTGTGACTTGAGAATTCTAATTCTAATGCCACTTGTGTGTGCTTGCATTTCTGCAGGCTATCTGTTTATTATTTGTTACAAATATTTCTACGGTGCTTCCCTTCAACACAAAACTCAAAAGCGGTTGGGAATACAATCAAATATTTAAAATAATTGTAATATAAAAACTGCCCTAGACACTTCCAAACAGCAAAGGGAGAGAAGAAAGCAAAGATGAAAAGCTACATTTTCAGTAAACATATTTTTTTATTATTATTAGTGGCCCAAAGCTGGAAGAGTGAGATAGCGATGAAAATAAATAAATGAACCAGGAAGGTTAGAGATTAGAGTGCTATTGGCTGAACAGCAAACACAGAAGTAAAAATAAATTGCGACAAGAACTACATAATTTAATACTGTAGCAGTAACTGCACTGCATTTAAGACTTCAGAGACTGTCAACATTACAGCTGTTTTAAGGGAATATCAAAGAAGAAGAAGGGGTTTTGGAAACCATCATCTCTAGCCCCTTTTTATCCTTTGCACCAGGTGTGGGAAACCTGTCCCTCTCCCGACATTTTTGACTGCCGCAGGCCTTCGCATCCGACGGCAGGATGATGGGGGGATGAAATTCTAGAGGGCCCACCCCAGACTCCTGTTTTTCTCCCGACAGAGTCACAGCTGAGAAGAGCTCAGACTGAGGACAAAAGTGATTAATGTGGGTTCTTTTTTTCCTAACGAGTATTCAACAGATCACTGGTCCTGCCAGCCCGGACTTCCAGGAGCTAAAATCTAAAATATCTGGAAAGCCAACAGTTCACCAAGTCATGACCCAAGACCAAAACAAAGAAGGTGTGATGGAACTACATCGTACTAAAGGGCTCCTTGCGGAGCAGGTAACTTGAATTTTCCGAGTTTCATTGCTTTTAGCCAAATCTTCCTATTCTAGTTCCTTGCCTATTGGAGGCTGGGCATTATCAAGTCCGACTTTAAACGTGGCAGCGCTAAAGCAACTGTTATATCCAAACCAGCGTCTCAAATTCTCCAGCCAAGCAAATATTTCTCATTCCTCCACTTCTTCCTCTCCATTTAATCTGCCTTGAGCGATCAGCTGGAACAAGCTGAACTTTCTCCACCTCATCAAAGCAGTCCAGATTCCTGTCTTGGCCTTTTTTTCACCCACTTTGGTGTCGCATCCTTGGTTACCCTCTGGATCCAAGAAATTCTTAGATGTTGTGCTATATCCACATTTTAAATGCTCCTTTCTTTTTAAGTAAGTCTTTGACATGTAGATTTATTGCAAGATGCTGAACATTTCTTGCATGGAGAGAGCGACCAATTAAAAAAATGGTACGGTGAATGAATAAAGACCAGGAACTCATGAAATTAGTAGACAGCTAGAATAACTTGTTGTTTTGGCTAATCTGCTATCACTGTGATTTTGTATGTTAAAATCTGCATGTATAATTCCATTTTACCATAATGCAAATCACCCTGGAAAATCAGTAAAAGAATGCCTAATTATTCTGAAGCAAAATCCAGATCGTTTGCTCCTACAAATGCTAAGACCGAGAACTCTCACAATCCTTTTTCATGGACTGTGTTGCATGGGGCTGATGGGCATTGTAGGCATAAACACCTGGCGGGCAACATTTCCACAACCAACCTGCGACACCCTAAAACAGGTGTCCTTCAAATGGATGCCCTCCTGATCAGCTCTGCAACAAATCCCATACTTCCTCAATCGGCAAGGACCATGCTTGTGAATCATGGGAGTTGTAGTCGACCACATCTGGAAAACCCCAGCTTGGAGAAGTCTCCCCTGAAGCCTAAACACTAACAGAGATTTGGGGTTCTTTCCCATTGTTTCCACCTGCCTTTCCCAAGAAAAATTAATGCAGATTCCCCCCATTCCTCCTAAATATAACAACCAGCGTCTCGCGGGGTCATGGGCAGCCTATAGAATAAAATAAAATAAAAAATACTTTGGTGTGTACCTAACGAAGCAACATAAAACCAAACACACAGGCGAGTTTCCCAACCGCCATGAGAGAGAAAATGAGTTACCAGAAAAATCTCTCACACACACAAACAAAAAAACAACATTAAAATATATACTCTGAACACCACAGATTTCGTTTCTCTCAGCACCGGGATCTGACCTTCCTTTAGAAAAAATAAAATAAAATAAACCCGGGGTTTCCTTCTTTTAAGTCTCTTTTCCGTTTCATTTTCGCCGGCCCCTCCACCGAGGGCCCCGCCGCCCGCCCGTTCCCGCGAACGCTCCCGCCTTCAGACGTGTCAGGGAACGCGGGTGTGCGCGCGGGAGGGAGGGAAGGGGGGAGAGAGGAGAGAGAGGGCAAGGAGGGGGGGTGGCGGCTTGGGATCTCCCCCCCCCCCAAGCCCTTAACATTTCCAGCTTCTGGTCGACACGCGTCCGCGACCCCCCACCAAGCCCCATTCCCACGGCGCCAGCGGGTGCCTCGGCCTACCTTTCCTGCAGCAGCAGCAGCAGCCGGAGGCTCGGGGCGGCTGGCCAAGCGAAGGGGCGCGACGGCCGCGGGGTCCCCCTCGGGGAGGGAGGCAAAGGCGCCGGAGGCAGCCTCCCGGGCGAGGGCCGTGTGTGGGCGCGCTTTTTCCGCGGGACGGGACCCCCCTTGGTCGTCTGGACGCGGCGAGCAAGAGGCGAGCTCCACGGCTGCTGTCCTCCAGGCTGCTGCTCCCGCTCCTCCTCCTCCTGGCTCTGCGGCTCGGCCCCGAGCAGCGCCTCCCTCTTCGCCTCCTCCCGAGAAGGCGGTCCGCACGGCGACCCACAGAGACGGGGGTGGGTGGGTCAGACTCCCCAGAAGCCAGAGGACAAAAAGAGGGTGGTCTCTGGACAGCCAGCCTGCGGAAAGGGGGGGGGACACGCCGATCTCCCCCCTGATCACAATGGGGGGGGGAACTGCGATGACCCCTAGGCCTGCTGGCCAGTGCTCCTGGCTGTGGACTTTGATCTGGAGATGATCAGCTTGGGGCCAGACACAAGTCAGGTTCCACATTATGGGGACCCTTGTCAGGGTGTTCTAGGTATGAAATACTCAGAACTGGTTTCCCCTTCCCTCCTTGTCCGGGAACTCTGCAGCTGACCCAAGGACACCCAGGCTTGGCCCACACTTTCCCATGGCCAGCTGTTCTCTGTAAAAGGAGATGATCTGTCACTGTGATTGATGAGTGTCAACTGGCTAGTCTTTTGTATGCAGGGATCACACAAAAGACTATTCCCCCCTCTTATCACAACAAAATACCCATAACAAAAAAACACCCAGAAACACCCAGTCTCCTGAAAAGAACAAAAGCCCTGATCCCACAGCTATGGCCCACACTTTCCCATCCCTAGCTGTTCTCTTAAAAGGAGATGATCTGTCATTGTGATTGATGAGTGTCAATTGGCTAGTCTTTTGTATGCAGGGATCACACAAAAGACTATCCCCCCCCCTTATCACAACAAAATACCCATAACAAAAAAACACCCAGAAACACCCAGTCTCCTGAAAAGAACAAAAGCCCTGATCCCACAGCTACAAATACTCACCCATCCCACACACTACACCAGAGCACGGACAAGAGTTCCTACTCCCGTCCTCTGAAGATGCTGGCCAAACGTTAGGAAGAAAAACCTCCAGAACACGGCCAGACAGCCCAAAAAAAGTTACAACCACCATCAGATGCCGGCCGTGAAAGCCTTTGAGATCACATTTTTGGACTTAATTTTTTTCCCTCCCTCTTTCTCTTCCTTCACCTTTATTTGCCTCAACAAACTATGACATAGCATAGCTAACTCTCTTGATTTTCCAAAACCGTCCTTGCCAAGCACAGCCGACAAATACTGTACAACTGCATTTCACAGGAGTTTTGAAAGAGGTGGCCGTGTTAGTCTGTGCAAGTAGATCAGCCAAAATCCAAAGAAACAAAACGAGAAAACCAAAAAAACACACACACATTAAACCTAAAAGACTACTATATTTTAATGTAGACTTTAATGGGCACAGCTACTTCATCAGAAATGGTGAATGGAATACTGTATCAGGTTCATACTAAATATTCATTGGCTTTTGGATGTCTGATCCATTACATGCAGTGATTTATGGCTTATGTTGTTTTAGGGCTCTGTTGTAAAAATTCCTCAGGAGACAGAAAGCAGACTCGAGGCCTGGGCAAAGATGGGGGGGGGAGAGGAGAGAGGAGGGGTGTATGTATGTGGGAGTTGAAGATCAAGAGGGAGAGAAAAAGAGTATATTAAATATAAAGGTTTAAAAAGATAGCAAAGGAATCGCATGTGTCAATGCAGAGAATGCTGACAGTTTTTACCTCTGAGCCTTGTAATGAGAGATGGGCTTGGTAGTTGTGAAGAAAATAACAGTGGCAGTAGATGACAGCAGAAGTGTTAGGCTTATATTCAGTGCATTTGTACGAGCGTCCATCATGCATATAAGTTTTATCTCAGGTGTCTCCCTCTGTATTCTTGAGTTGTAATGATTCTGTTTTAAAATAGTGACTTTCAAATCTTCTGCGGAGTGTCCTGGTGGATTGAAATGCTTGGAGGCAGGTTTCCATGTATAGTTTGGTTTCAGACGTTCAATTTGTGACTGTTGACCTGCTTTTGTAGAGTGCAAAGGGGTATTGTTGGTAAAAGATGGCATAGATCGCATTAACTGATGAGCAAGTGATATTGTATGGGATCACATTAACTGATGAGCAAGTGATATTGTATGTGGCATTGTTAAGTTCTGTAACTGTGTTGCCAGAATAGATGTGTGGGCAGAGTTGGCATCTGGGTCTGTAGCAGGGTTTAGAGCCCCTGTGTGTGTTGCTGTTTTGTGGCTTGTGTGTTAGTATTGAGGTTGGAGGGTTGTCTGTAGGCAAGTATGGGTCTTCCACCAAGGGCTTTGGAGGGGTGTGTGTTCTTGTCAAAGATGGGTTGGAGATTGCTTACGATGCCTGTGAGTGGTCTCAGTTGTGGACTGCAAGTGACAACTAGCGGTGTCATTTGGTCCACCGGGTCTGTCTGGCAGTAAGATACTTCTGCGTATGCGCCTTGCTTTGTTGATTTGTTCCTTAATCATCTGGGGTGGGTACTGTAGTCTGAGGGACACATTTTATAGATCCCTAGGTTTGGAGTCTCCGTCCTGTGAGTCAGAGCAGATGTGATTGTATCTTAGGGCTTGGGTGCATAAAGTGGTTTTTGTTGTGTGTTCAGGTGGAAGCTGGAAGAGAACAGGTAGGTGTATCAGTGGGTGGGTTTCCGGTTCAGCTTGGTGCCAAGATGTCCATGTTGTCGTTTCGCAGTTGCATAGAAAATCCACCTGTTGCATACATTGTTCCATTGTTGTTCCAAACAACCCCTGCATGTTGATGTTTTGGTGAAAGTTACTGAAATCATGGTGATATTTTTCTAGGGATTCCTTTCCATGGGTCCAGATCAGAAAAATGTCCTCTGTGTACCTCAAATGGAGGAGTGGCTTTTGGGTGCAGCAGTTAAGCGTGTACCTCAAATAGAGGAGCGGCTTTTGGGTGCAGCAGTTAAGAAAGGCTTGTTCCAGGTCAGCCATGAATAATGTGTGCATATCGTGGAGCCGTGCGGGTGGGTGCCCATTGCACTTCCATTCATCTATAGGGAGGTTTTATTGTCAAAAGTGAAATACAGTAGCTGTGTGTGAATACAAAGTCACGGACGGTGATGATTGTGTGGGCTCCCTCCTTGTTTTGAATGTTGTTAGTGACCGCTTGTAGTCTGTCTTTGTGTGGGATGTTAGCATACAGAGTGCCTCTACATCCATTGTACTAGCTAGGATGGTGTTGTCAGGAAGGTCGTGTGTGGACTGAAGTTTCCTTAGGGGGTTGAAAATAAAACAGCCAACATTATAATGGCCTTCTATGAAACGCTGGTAAGGTCACGCCTGGAGTATTGTGTACAGTTCTGGTCGACGCACCTCGAAAACGACATAGTGGAACTCGAAAACGGGCAGAAAAGAGTGACCAAAATGAGGACTGGGCCGAAGCACCTCCCTTCTGAGGAAAGGCTACAGCCGTGGAACTCGAAAAGGGGCAGAAAAGAGCGACCAAAATGAGGACTGGGCCGAGGGGGGATACAACTGAGGCATATAAAATCATGCAGGGGATGGATAAAGTGGATAAAGCTCTTTTCCCTCTCACGCAACACCAGAACCAGGAGATATCCACTCCAATTGAGAACAGACAAAAGAAACTATTTCTTGACCCAGCGTGTTAGTCTCTGGAACTCCTTGCCACAGGATGTGGTGATGGCACCTGGCCTGGATGCCTTGAAAAGGGGATTGGACAGATTCCTGGAGGAATAGTCCATCACAGGTCACAAGCCGTGATGGGGATGTATATAATCTCCAGGCTTGGACGGAATGTATCTCAAAATGCCAGATGCAGGGCATCGAGATAGGGATCTCATTGTCTCTTGTGCTCCCAGAGGCATCTGGTGGGGCCGCCGTGAGATACAGGAAGCGGGACTAGATGGGGCCCTTGGCCTGATCCAGCAGGGCTCTTCTTAGGTTTCATGGTATCTTTTATGGAGCTGAGTGCGCTGGTGGCATAAGGTTTGAGGACGAAACCCAAGTACTGTATCCAAATATCCCAACTGTGATGATGTCGATGTTTGATGCAATGGGTCTAATGGGGTTTCCTGGTTTGTGTATTTTCAGCAGTAGATAGAAGGTTGCTGGTCCCTTCCACCATGGTATCTTTTACAGAGCTGAGTGTGCTGGTGGCATAAGGTTTGAGGACGGAACCCAAATACCCAGATATCCCAACTGTGATGATGTTGATGCAGTGGATCTACTGGGGTTTCCTGGTCTGTGTACGTATTTTCAGTAGTAGATAGAAGGTTGCTGGTCCCTTCCACCAAAAGCTAGTCTTATCCAAAAGGAGGGCTAAGGAAAAAAAACCCACAGTATGTGTCCCATGATTATCTCTCTACACAGGGTCAGATTGGGTAAGAGACTTAAAGCTTTGAGATGAGGGCAGGATTGAGAGGCAGAACAGGATCATCCGTGCAGAAGACCTGCAGTGTTGCAAAAATTAATAATAATAATAAAGCACAGCCTCTACTACTTAATGTGCATCTATGGGGGAAATAATATAGAATAAAAGCCAGCAGATTATCAGTTCAGAAGCTCACCAAACTGGATCGAAGCAGTGGCTCAAGCCCAGATTTTTATGGCCTGCCTTTTCCCACGCAGCACAGGCCAGTTCACAAAGCAGAGTGGCATATGCGTTTTACCTGTAATTTAGAATTTATGACAAGTCTTGAAGAGGGAACTCCCAATATATATATTTTCAAAACCATATAAAATGCAAAACAAGAAAGCCGCATTAAAATGAGAAGGCATCCTTCCAGCACACTGTAAAGATCCATCGAGAAATAATGTAAAGGCACGTGGTACAGTTAAAGAGGTCCAGAATGACTTAATAAGTTAATAAGAAGGAAGGACTTAAAAGGAGCAAAGCACGTGTTTTAAGGCTGGGAGGAAAACGCTGGAGAACATTGCCTCCTTGTGGCGGGAGCGTGCAACTGCACGCTAGGGCTGCGGCGCCTTCGTATGGAGATCGCCATTAGGTGGATCCATTAAAAGGCCGCCGGTTTGCTTCGCCTGCGAAGGGCCGAGAGAATGGAGCGGGTTACTATATTAAATGAAATTATGGCGTGGCGTTGCAGGGTAATTTCTGCCAAGTAATATCGTGCTTGCGAGAAGGCGAGAAAGGAGGACGAATCTCCCGGCGTTGCTTTGAATACCGTTTAGAGTCCCTTTCTAACCAGGTGGTAGCGTGGCCGAGTGGTCTAAGGCGCTGGATTTAGGCTCCAGTCATTTCGATGGCGTGGGTTCGAATCCCACCGCTGCCAAAATAATTTTTCTTTCCGCCCTGTAACTCGGATCTGCCCCTTTTATTTTATATGTGTGTGAGTGAGATAATGTGTTTTAACAATCCTGATTTGTTTCTCTAAACAACCAGGGAATGTCCGTGCTTTCATAGGAAAGTACAGTACTTGTATTTATACCACTGGCCCTTCTGAGTCCATCCGTCTCCTGCTGCGTCTTCTTTTCCTGCTACCCTCCACTTTTTCTAGCATTATTGTCTTTTTTCCAGCCAGTCTTGTCTTCTCGTGAGATTATTTCCAGTAATCCCAATTTTATACCATTTTTAGACTCACTTTATTTGTAACTCTTTACTGCTGATTCAATAGAGACCTTTACTCCTCCATCCAGACCACTGTTTGTATGAAATATTAGGACTGGATCTCATTCTTCTGAAAGAAGATGAAGAAAAGGAAAAGGAGGTCTAAGAAGAAAAGCAGCCTCTTTGGGACGGAGGGAAAAATAAGAAAATATCAAATGCGCAACCGGAAGTAATGCAGAGAAAACCTGCACAGGTGCATCTGATAGAACTGGGGTGGAGAGTTATCATGAAATTCTTGCCAATAAAATCTGCTAGTCTTTAAGGAAACTGAAAAACTCACTGTTGCTGTTTAGTAAAACAATAGTACAGCAAAGAATCCGGCATTTCTCCTCTGGGAAGTTTAATCTCCAAATAACTACTATAAAAGCAGGAGAGGTCAGGGCAGGTTTAAAACGAAATAAAAATGATACATCACTTAAATGTGCATGAATAAATAAATGAAAAAAAGCAGAAGAAATAAGGAAACAGATCAAGTGCAAATTCAAAAATTATATTTACCTATATCTTTAAATCATAAATATCCCCCCCCCCAAAAGAAGGGTGTATCATTTCTAGAAATACAACCATGCCACATGGATACTTGGAGTGGGAGGATGTAGATTTTATTCCGTCCTCTTAATGTCAAAGATGGCCTTAAGGTAGTTTTCAATCCTAGGTGGCTCAGAGTATATTATTTTTTTTCTTTTCATTCCAATATGTTTAATTTAAAAGCTTAAAAAAACAAGGCTATATACCTTGCCGATAGCAAGAAAAAAGTTCTAAACAGTCTTTATGCAATGCAATGTGATTTTGGCCACATACAATGCCAAAAATAACCATGCTGATGTCCAGCCTTGAGTAGGAGAACACCACTAAGAATGTCGGCCAGAATCCTATTATTTAGTAACACTCGTGCAAGGGATATTGCGTAAGTCCTAGTGGTGAATTGTCATTCCTTAATGAGGTTCTGGTTGCATTCCTCTGTGAGCTCCTGACAGGAACCAGACCAGCATCTAATGAGTGGCACTTTGCTGGCAAAATTACCCAGTTTCCTATATGCAAGTGTAAATTAGCAATAGGATTTGGGCCTTAGTCTATATCTGTATTTGCATGACTATATCCCAAAAATCCTGTTTGTACTAATTACAAGATAAAGGTAAAGGTAAAGGTTCCCCTTGACAATTTTTGTCCAGTCGTGTTCGACTCTAGGGGGTGGTGCTCATCCCCGTTTCCAAGCCATGGAGCCAGCATTTTGTCCGAAGACAATCTTCCGTGGTCACATGGCCAGTGCGACTTAGACACAGAACACTGTTACCTTCCCACCAAGATGGTACCTATTTATCTACTCGCATTTGCATGCTTTCGAACCGCTAGGTTGGCGGGAGCTGGGACAAGCGACGGGTGCTCACTCCGTTGCGTGGATTCGATCTTACGACTGCTGGTCTTCTGACCCTGCAGCACAGGCTTCGGCGGCTTAGCCCATAGCACCATCACTTCCCTTACAAGATACTGTACTGTAAAATAAACGAATAAATGAAGAGGGCAATGCCCTAGTACCCATTAGAAAAGGTATAATGAATGTGTGCCAAATGATAGTTCCTGGCCAGGCACATCACTGCATACATTACCTGTTGGAAAGATGGCCGAAGGACTGTTCAAAACAATACACATTGTAAGTGTTCCATGTTTTCCTGACATTTTGGTTTATTCTCCTTCCGTCTCAGAAAATTAGCTAAGGAAGCTGTGTCAAATGCTTTTGGGAGCCTATCACTCCCAGACTCCTCTAGCCAGAATGAGTTGTTCTGGGGATTGTAGTCCTATTTCTGTCTTTTGATTGATAGCATTAGGGGAACCGGCTGTCTGGAAATCAGCTGGGGCGTTTTGAGCAAAGAGATTATTGCCATCAGAAAAACATCTGGAGGTTCTACTGGGCCAGAGAAGCTTTCTAAGGGACAAGGTAAAATCTACCCATGATTTTGGTGCTCCGCGTTTCATTGTGGCCCTCCAGAGTTCACCAGAATACAACTCGTATCATCCCCTGGTATCTGGGGCTAATGGGACTTTGAGCCAAACACCAAGTTGAAGAACAGATGGCCCTTAAAATGTCAACAGGGCAGAGAACCAGCATTTCCCACCACCTCCCACAAGCCGCCGCATCTCTGCTGGCCCTCAGGAAATCACAAAACAGATTTCTAAGCATGCCTTTATTTTCAGCTCATGCCAGTTCACACGACTGCCAGGAAGCAGTCTGTGACTCAGTTCCATATGGGCTGCTGTTGGTATCTTCATCTTTCCACTGTTCCATTTTTCTCATCATCACATGTGCGCAGAAGACTATCTAGATATTTTCTGGGAAGGAAGGTGCTTGTGTGGTACCCTTTTAATGTTTCTTTTCCCAGACCATGATCTCTTAGTTATCTCCTCCCAGTCTGACGAAAAAAATGGGCCAGTGTGTTGCTTATTCATCTTAAAATACCTGCTTGCTGATGGCTTCATGGCTAAGGACAATGGACCAGAACGTATGTCAAGTGAGTGAAGAGTAAGATCTCCCTTCCTTCTGCCTTGTTCCTATGTTTCTGATGAGAACAGACTGATCCCTCGATATTCTTCCAATATCGGCATAAGAAGCTTCAGAAGCTCGGGGAATTTAACAATTACAACAATCAGGCTGATGAGAAAGAACATCACAAGGAAGCATTTCAGTAAGAAGAAACTCCTCTGCGGAGGGTGTTTTTTCAAGTAATGATCCACGCAGCTGGCAAAGGTGTACTTCTTTGGAGAGTAACCCAGGTGCGCCCGAGCCTTGTCTATTTTCAGTGTGTATGTGCAAGTCATATTATATACCTGAAAAATCCAAAACATTCAGAGAGTTTTTAGGGTTTTAAAAAATTTACGTTAAAACATTGAAGAAAGAACAACAAACAATGGGGAGGGGGAGATGGTCCGTGGTGGTTGTTTCCAGCCTAGCACCTTCCAGATGTTCTGGACTATAATGGTCATAAAACCCAGGTTTTGCCCACGCTGACTGGGGCTGATGGGATTTCCACTTTGAAACATCTGGAGGGTTCAAGGTTAGGGACGGCTAGCCTTATGGAGGGAGCATTGATCAGGAACTCGCAGAGCTACCCAGATAAATCAATGCATAATCCAAATTGTTAAAGTCGGTATGACTGGTTGGCATATAGTTTTCCTTCAGTCTCTGCTCTCTCTAGTTCAAGTTTTAACTTTGTGTGACAAAGGACTTAACAAGACAAAACATAAGGGTTTTGAACATTCGAAAGCACTTGAATGCCTTTTTTTTTCTCGATGAGCGACGGACAGTTTGGTTTGTCACTGGCCAGAATCCTATTGCTGACTTGCACTCTCGTTCAAGGAGAATCACGTTAAGTCTTGAGAGCAAATTCCTGTTCATGAACGAGGTGCTGGTTGGGTTCCTGAGTCCATGTCTAATTGGGCACATGTGCAGGAACGCAACCAGCACCTGGTTAATGTGCAGCAATTTGCTCCCAAGACTTACGTAGTTTTGCATATGCAAATATAAATCAGTAATAGGATTCTGGCATGTGGCTGTGAGGAAGACAGACCTAAAGCTGACCAAAATGGGCCAGCAAGGATAAAATCTGCAAAGACTATTTTTAAAAGGGCTGTTTTTAGGAAGCATGTGCAGGTCTTATAATGAGACGTGCACATCTGTGTATGTGTCACTAACACTTCCAGAATTCCCCAGGCAAAAATCAGCAAGCTCTCTACAATGGCTTTATGGTACCTGCACCATTTCCCAGTCTCCCTGACTGGTAGGGGTATAAATCTCTATAATAAACAAATAAACAAACAAAACAACCAGCACTTGAAAATACTGACCCTAGTGTCAGCAAGTTAATATTAAAATGTCAAAGGGGGAAAAAAAAGAGCTGTTAAGGTTAAAATGTTAAAAGACATTTACAACATTCATTCATTCTTTAACTGGCTGATTGTTATTCACTGAAAGAGGGAAACCACAACTGACAACTCAGAAGTAACAACACAATGTTAATAGTTGAAAAAACCGAGAGTGTAGGCATTGAAAGAGTTCACCCCAAAATTGCTCTATGAATGGATTTGGGTTGATGACCAGAAGTAGCAACACAATGTGAAATGTTAATAGTTGAAAAACCCAAGAGTGTAGGCATTGAAAGAGTTCACCCAAAGATTGCTCTATGAATGGATTTGGGTTGATGAACTGATTTTTAAGAAGTCATTTCCAAAACTCTGGACAAAATAAAGAATAAGTTGCGGCCTAGTCATCCATTACCTCACTTCTGGTGATGAGCGGAGTAACTTCCACAATTGGCTTTAAGGCTTTGTACACATTTTCCAGGACGACAGCTGTGCAAACAAGAGGGAAGAGCTGGCTATGACAATGGTTATTTCAGGAAAAAAAATCATTAGGGAGCTGCCTCCAGTCGTTGAGCTCAGCACCGCCCCCTGCTGTATCGTTTCTAACGCAACACTCATTCAACTGGAACTTGACAGTGTTTCTGTTGCTAAGAAAAACTGGGCTTCCAAAAATGTTCTGGCAGGAGTTTTGTCATTTTGTCATAGCAATGGGAAGAAACAGCAGCAAATATCTGGGCAATATCTGAGGGGATCGTGGGAGTTGCAGTTTGGTTTGGCACCAGGATGTCTCAACTTTATTTATGTCTAATTATTGAATGTATACCCCGGCGTTCCACTACAAAACATAGCTCTCAAACTCTTCTTTGGCCAGGGCCATAAACACAATAGGAAAGAAATATCAGTTGAATCAAGATTGCATAAACCACATAAAAAACTTTATAAGGTGGTGTGTAAGGAATTGTTTCCGGTCTGTGGCCCCCTTCAAATAAGCCACCCCTCCAAGGGTCTATATGGCCCCCGTTGACAATGGCCCTTCTCGGGAACTTACAATCTTAATAAAGCAATAAAGACAAGAAAAACAAATTGAACCATAAAATCATAAAACTCAAACAAACCTAATTCTAGGCTTCAAGATGGCCAAGCTAATGAAGGGCAACACCATGGTTAAATTCTCTATCTGCTATTCATAGTTTGCTAGTACAGTAATTAGTTACAAACAACTTCATTGTACTACTTAGTTATGTAACTAGTTACATGTTAGGGTAATAAGTAATTTGACAACTTGTAAAAAAAATTAGAGTAAAAGCAACATAACAAGTTGTTACAAAGTGATTTTAGGTATTATGCATTTTCTAGTTACATGGGAAAGTTACTTTTAAAAGAGCATTTAAAAGTATTTTAGTGGCCTTACAATTTTTTCATCTTATCAGTCCTAAATAGCAAAGCACTATTATTTCTTTTTATCTTTTGCGTTCTTAATAACTGTTTCCAAAGCATAATATGAATTAACCAGGATTTCTGTGTATTTTTTAAAAGGTGAACACAGAGTTCAGTGATGCGCTTAGCATTATATATAATGTAGCCCTTAAAAGTCTTATATAATTACTAAACATAAATGACTTTGTCTGCACTAACAGGAAAGTTATTTATAAATATATGAAAAAAAATTACTGTGCTCATTCTGCTATCCTCTGCATAAACCATGGTTTGCATCAATCATGGTTTATGTTGTTTCAGTGCTTTGTGGCAAACTATGTTTTTTTTAAACTGTGGCTTGCCACAAAAGATGAAATCAGAAAGCATGTGGGGAGGAGAAAGTATCTAGACATGCTCAGAGCTTGGGAAAGACACTTTTTAGACTGCTTTCCATTCTGGCTGTGGAATTCTGGGTTGTCTAGACTGAAAAGGGACATTTCTGGTCTTGCTTAGAGAATGCCAGCCATGGTTTGGCCCTTGTACCTAAAAAGGGTAAAGAGTACAAAAACAAGCAAGCAGATAACTGCCGATGATTTACCTGATAGATGAACGAGACAAATAGGAGCACGTAACCATGGTTTCCGGGCGCCCAGTCCTTCAAACTGAAAGAAACATTTTTGGTTTTTTGATCTTAAAATTTAAAATGATGGAGCCCATGGAGGGAATCCACAGGTCTAGACTCCTTTCCTCCATCCAGTGACCAGAAGTTCACACAGCCAAGGTGAACACCAGAGGAAGAGCAAGGATGCAGAGTGACCGAGCGAGGACAAGAAAGAGCTGCGGTGTTTGGCATCCATTCTGCGCTTCCTCCAGCATCTGGAGAGATTGTTAACTTAAAAGATGATCATAAAGAGTTTTTAAACTCACCAATGGATCTAACCAGTCGAAAAGGTTGAATTTCTCACCATCGTTGATAAAATATGCCTGGCCGCCCTGTAAACAAATTGAAGTGGTGGAAAGGAGAGTAGGGACAGAACCAATTCATGCCTTACACAATACAGCACCATGACTTCTATGCCGCAAAATTAGAGCTGTTTGATAGCTCTGTCACTGTCAGAGCTCCGGCCAATGGAATCCTGGGACAGTGAATTTTCTGCTGCCGTTAAAGGGGAGCGCACGAGAACTATCCTGCTGAGAATTCTAGGCACCTCCCTAAACTATAAATCCCAATATCTCATTGGATGAGCAGTTTAAAGTGGCAACCCGTTAGAAAACTGTAGTATTCAAAATTCCTCAGCTTTACAAGCAACGGAAACAGACATCTAAAGCAGCAAATCATTTCACCCTCCTTTGGTTGATTTCCACAGTCTAAGCGATCAAACTTATTTTCTATGGCATCTTAATTGGCTTAGCAAGCAAGAATTTTGCAGTCCTCCAGAGGCTGTTCCACAGAGGTTTTTTTTAAATATTAAAAGACTGATGAAAAGACAGGATATAGATGTTTTAGCTGTTTGAAGTTAATTAATTTAAAAGAATTAATGGAAAACAATGTTTCTAGCAGAGTTTCTGATTCAGGTTTACAGCAGACCAGGTAAAGGTTCCCCTTGACATTTATTCCAGTCATGTCCGACTCTAGGGCGCGGTGCTCATCCCCGTCTCTAAGACGTAGAGCCAACGTTTGTCCGTAGACCATTTCCGTGGTCACGTGGCCAGCGCGACTAGACACAGAATGCCGTTACCTTCCCACCGAGGTGGTCCCTATTTATCTACTCGCATTTACATGCTTTCAAACTGCTAAATTGGCAGGAGCTGGGACAAGCGACGGGAGCTCCCTCCCTCACCTGGGTTCGATCTGACAACTACTGGTCTTCTGACCCTGCAGCACAGAGGCTTCTGCTGTTTAACCCGCAGCGCCACCATGTCAAGCACATAAAGCAGACCAAGGGGTGCATAAACCATAGTTTATGTTGTTTCAGTGCAACAGCAAACTATGGTTTGCCATTAAAGATGAAATCAGGATGGAGACCAGAAAGAGTGTAGAACTATATATAAGAACTATGTAGAAGGGATTTGGAGGTTTAATCGCCATCCAGACGCCAGCTGTATCTTGCATGCATTAGACTGCTGCCTGAGCAATTACTATTCCTTCTCAAGAGATCCTTGGAAAGGTTGTTTTGCCCAGAGCTTTGAAATATTATATTCCACTCCCAGAATTCCCAGACATGTTGATTGAGGGTTCTAGGCCAGAAAGAGGTAACATTTCAAAAGTCTGGTTCAGTCAGGCATCCCAGAAAACTGAAAAAAACAATTTACTGCTGCTTCACCAAATTAATCACACAGTTCTTTGAGAGGAAAACTGGGGAAATGAATAGGTTTGTAGAGTAGATTTATGCACAGTACAATGGAATTAAACCCTAGTGTGCTTGCTAATTGATTTGGCCATGGGAGGGGAGACACACGAACAGAACACAGATCAGAGAATTCCTGGGCAGATGATTTTGATCAAAGGGCCGCCAGCTTGCGTTGTTGGATTACAACTGCTGTGGCTTTTGCAATTACTACAGGCCAAAGTAATTGGTTCTGCTTTGTTCTAAAAAGTCACAATAAAACATCAATAAAGACAACAAAGAGATGGTAAAGACACATTCAGGACACCTTCCTGGAGACACAGGCGGATGGGATGAGAAACCTAGAAAATCCGAATATATACTCACAGCTATATAGTTTTTCTCTTCGGTTAGAGCCTCAGCAGCAAGGATGTGAGCTCTCACAAGATTCTTGACGTGCACCCAGTTCATTACGGCTTTAGGGTCCCCAATTCGGAAGGCAAAGAGCCCTCTCTGGATATTCAGCTGTTGAAATGGGTGAGGCATACAATCAGGAACATGGAAGTGCTATAGTAGCAAAGGTGACTGTGCAATCGTTTGTCAAATTTGTCATGATCATCCCCGCAACCATTCACTCAAATAAGGAGAGTCTCAAAATGCAGGCAGCTGGACTGGTTGATGTTGAAAGAAGAGGAGCAGGTCTTTTGCAAAGCTAATAACTCTTAATTGCTCAGTTAGGACCTAATCCCCAAATACTTTTACATTCCAACATGTTTTCCCTGGGAAAATCCATTCCCCCACCACCTCACCTACTGTGAGGAATGCAGGTTAGGTGATGTGACAGTCTCTGGTGGCCAAAATGTCCAGCTTCGGCCTCTGTGAGCCTTGGCTAACCAATGCTAACTTGTTACTGTATTTTTACCAGTCACCTAAAAGGCCATCAACCTAACTTCCCAAGGAAGGAGGAAGCCCTGCCTTCTCTTAGGAGCCGTGTTCTACGTTGCCAGGAAATTGTTTGGAATCAGTCAAACTACATACTGCCAGTCGGGGCAAATGCCTCTGTTCTTCTGGCCCATAGATCCCTGGGGGGCGAAGGGCACAGGTATACAGCACGCCGCCTCCTGTAAAATAAGAAACAGAACGAGAACAGATTCAGCCACTGGTTTCGTATTCACAGCTTTGTGACACCATCTTGGTTCTGTTTAAATGTATTTGTGTTCTGATGGTAGGGCCTGCACTGCTGAAGAATTTGGGGCTTCCTGTCAAGACCAATACACAACCCTGGTTGGAGTCAACATTTTGCTGCTGAGATGGCAGCACGCTAGGCTTCAAACTGGCGCTAAGGGAGACACAGGGAGCGAGTCCTTTGGCCACATGATATTTTGGGTGGACAAAGATGTAATGCGGTGTTAAACTTTTAATATAAGGCTGCTACATGTAGAGATCACAGGCTAGGACCAGCCCTAGCATTAGGCAGAGTGAGGCAATTAACCCGAAATGGCTGATGTTGAGGGTCAGCAGTGGTAGTCTCTGAGGTTCGGGGTTCCTTTGAACTTTCCAGATGCTCTTTTTAGCTGATGGGCAAAGTTCTCTATGCCACGGAGGCTGTCCTAATCCCATTAAGCTAGTTCTCCTATTTCTGGTCTGACAGAGGGCACTGCCCGCCTCACTGCCAATCTCTCGTCTCAAGCGATGAAATAAACCCAGCTGTCTTCTATAGAGGACAATGAAAAGGGGAAGCCACTTATCCATTGCTTCAGGCAGCAAAATGTCTTGGGCTTCCTCTAAGTAGTAGTACTATAAAGTTCACTGGAAAATACCTGCCAGGGGTGTTCCGTTAGCTGCTAGAACCATCTGTTCTGCGATAGATTTGGTTCTGGAATATTCACTAACGTGCTAAAAGAAAGAAAGAAAATTGAATTATTTTGATGAATTTGCTATCAAGTTTGAGTTATTTACTGTGGCTGGTACTGAAGATTATGGGCAAGTAAGAACACAGTGACGTGGTGGCGCTGCGGGCTAAACCGCAGAAGCCTCTGTGCTGCAGGGTCAGAAGACCAAGCAGTCGTAAGATCGAATCCACACGACGGAGTGAGCGCCCGTCGCTTGTCCCAGCTCCCACCAACCTAGCAGTTCGAAAGCGTGCGAATGCAAGTAGATAAATAGGGACCACTTCGGTGGGAAGGTAACAGTGTTCCGTGTCTAAGTCGCACTGGCCATGTGACCACGGAAGATTGTCTTCGGACAAAAACGCTGGCTCTATGGCTTGGAAACGGGGGTGAGCACCGCCCCCTAAAGTCGAACACAACTGGACAAAAAATGTCAAGGGGGACCCTTACCTTTACCTTTAAGAACACAGTATGGCAAGTATAATGTGACCTAGTAGCTATCCTTCCAACTCTACTTACCCAGCCACCATCTTACCCTAGCTACCAAAACAGAGCTATCCTCAATCTGATGTTGTCCAGATATATGCCAGAGAATACAGCTCCCATCACCCAGCTGGTATGTTTTCAAGTGCCGTTTTCTTCTCCCAAGAACCTTGTATGGCTATGTCAGTACTACTATTCCCCTCCATGCCACTGAGGTGGGAACAGAGACTAGATCACCTTGTAAATACTACGGGTGGGAAGACTTCAGGCTCACGGATGTACTTGGACAAGTGGCTCAGTGAGGAAAACACACACTCCAAATGAATGGTTGCTTTTAAATATATATCCACCTCTGAGAATTGTCATTAATATCAGATTCAAGTTCACAGATCTTCTCACACAACAATCCTTCCCCTCTTTCAAACTCAAGTTCTCTTTTTCAGCAAGCTTATTTAAGGAGGTAAAAAAAAGCTTTGTGAAGGGTTTTTCTAAAAGAAGCATTCACCCCCACCCCCCAGGTATTGGATTCATTTCTTTTCTACCACCTATACAACATAAGCCTTGTCTCAATAACAAGAGTGACAAAATTTGTATCTTTCTGTGTTTTCTTGTCTCTCCCGAATATGTTTTATTTTCTTTCACGGTTTGTTCCGGGGTGGACTTTGGTGCTACTGCACTTTCTATGAACTTAATCGTTTCCATAACGAGAACTTCCTGGTCAGAAGTGTTCAATTAACTGTCAATTGGGAGAGAAGCAAAAAAAAAGGGGGGTAAGGCAGGGGAGGAAAGCTCTTGACGAGAAACTCCAGCAAGATTTTCGACGTAATTATTAAAGGATTCCAAGATTAACTGAAGAGAAGGAGTTGGCTAAGAAATGCTTTTAAAGCTTAAGCTTAGGTGCACATCACGAGCCCCCTGCTCATTGTTAATGAATGGGGGGACAAACTGGGAGAAAGAACTTTTCCTGTCTGGTAAAACCTGTATATCATTACCCAGTCTAGACAAGTAGAAGACAGAAACTCTCACCAACTCATTAAAATTACCAGATATCTGTCAATCTCAATGACAGCTTGTGCTCTAATTTGGGGCAAGGCCTCACCCTGAAATGATTCCTATTCCATAGGCAGTCCATGCCTTATTCCTCTAGGTAGAATAAACTCCATATCTAAAAATCACAGGAAGGAGCAAATAAGAACTGTTTAAACTAGATTAAAATATAAAACAACTTAAAAGCCTACAACCATTTAAAACTATTTACTCATAACTAAATGCCACCATCTAATCAAACGGGATCCTTAAATGCCAAAGGCTTCAGTGGAGAGTGATGTTTTCATTTAATTTAATTTAATTAGCAGTGAAATTAGAGTAGTGTTGACACCAGTTGGCTGATCTGAAATTGATAAATACATTTCAAAGGGCAAAGGGCTCATTGTTAATCATTTTATGTGAGTTCTGCCTTAACATTTGTATGAACATGATTTAGGAACGGGAAAGTATTGTGATCTATTTCCCCTTTTAAAAAAGAAGCATACTTTCTCACAAAATATAACACTTATAGCCTAAAAACACTTGTCTCTTCTGCAATGCATACAATCCCAAGGTCTTAAGAACTTAAAATGAAACAATTGTAACAATTTAAATTTTTTTTTTCAAATATGGCACTCTGGATTCTTAAGGGTCTGTTTCAAACAGAGCAAAAGTAATTTTTCTATACTGTTGCTTTCAGTACTTTTCCCACCATCCAAATAATGCAAAGCTTGGATAGGTCACTTCAGTGACTTCCCACCTGCCTTTTTTTTGTTTTGTTGTCACTTCTGAAGGCATGACTGAATATTGTCCCAGATTTGTTCAGCAGGTGGAATATAGCGCTATGGCACTTTTCACAGGAAGTTCATTTTTGTATTAGAGACCACTAGTTGGAAGCTTCACATTATTTCACCAGTATTTTTTTAAGGCTCCAAAAGCAAAGCTACAACAGTGATGGAGCAATTTTTTTAAAGGACCTCCAGGGTAAAAGTGTTCTCAGAATCACAGCTATTAACTTGTCATAATAAAGTCTGGACGGACTGGGACCACATGCAATCAGTTGGCATGGTACTTCTGCCATGTGAGGAAGAATCCTAAGAAAACAGCTCTCATCTTGAATACCAGTTTTTTTTTTTTTTTTTTTTTGGTCCGGCTTACAGTAAGCTAGGGACGTGGTGGCGCTGCAAGGGACATGGTGGCGCTGTGGGCTAAACCGCAGAAGCCTGTGCTGCAGGGTCAGAAGACCAAGCAGTCGTAAGATCGAATCCACGAGACGGAGTGAGCGCCCATCACTTGTCCCAGCTCCCGCCAACCTAGCGGTTCGAAAGCATGCAAATGCAAGTAGATAAATAGGGACCACCTCAGTGGGAAGGTAACAGCGTTCTGTGTCTAAGTCACACTGGCTGTGTGACCACAGAAGATTGTCTTCAGATGAAATGCTGGCGCTAGAGTCGAACACGACTGGACAAAAATTGTCAAGGGGAACCTTTACCTTTACCTTTTACAGTAAGCTATTTGGCTGGAAGGTACACTAAATCAAGAAGCCCTGAGACACTGAAAAAGCCGATATGCTCACAACATCAGAGTTCTTCAGACGTTTTCTATCAGAGAAAAGTAAAGATGGGGAAAAGGCAGGGAAGGAAAAGATACTGTCCTCTGGCCACCTCTAGCCTAAGGCCATCTGGAAGGGTCTGAGCGGTAACATTTGTGATTCATAACTGAGGATGTGATTAAACAGCAAGAAATATGTATGTCTGATTGCACTGGAACAGGTTGCTTTGCTGTGAGCAGTCTCTCTTGAAGCTACCCTTCCATCGCTTGGGAACTGCCCCAGTCCAGCCTCCAAAAGTAGTATTCCTACTGCTCTCCCCAGCTTGGGCACAGATCAGTGTCAGGCTGGAGCACTATTGGGATCGTGTGATCACCAGGAAATAACTAGCAACAGACTGCACCTCATGCAGTCCAAAACGCAAGCTATTTGGTCATGTGACCACAACTTCAATCTCTTAGGCATGATACTTCCTTCAAAACTGTTACAAAACCCATGTGTAACTCTAGACCCTTGACATCCAGTTTATCAGCAGAAAAATTAGAGGTGGGAAGAATTTACTGTATATGGGAAGGGAAAGATGGGTTCTCAAAAGGTTCCTATAGGCTGAGGCTTGATTCATGTATTTAACGGTGGCAGTTACATACAGTAGTTTTTATTTCCTTACCCAAGGTTTTTTTCCACCCTTAAGCAAATGGCAGCAGCATCAACTGTGTTGACAACTTGGCTGCCATTTTGTATCTCAACAGCACCCTGGATCTGATTCCACCTCAGGAAGGGAAGAGAGAGGAATGGCCACCATTGCTAAAAATGGAGAAATTCTACAAAGTGCTTTCTTTTTCTTAGGCATGGGGAAATTTGTTGAGAGAGAACAGATCTCAAACTTTAAATCTCACAAATGTGTCTTGGTAAATTTGAGCCCAGTTCAAATATTTATGGATTACTTATACCTATCTATGTTATTTTTAGATTCTGCCTTTCCCCCCCGATGAGCAGTATTAACAACCCTGTATGGTGGGTATGGTAGAGACGTGGTGGTGCTGCGGGCTAAACCGCAGAAGCCTATGCTGCAGGGTCAGAAGACCAGCAGTCGTAAGATCAAATCCACGCGACGGAGTGAGCGCCCGTCGCTTTCTTCCAGCTCCCGCCAACCTAGCGGTTCGAAAGCATGCAAATGCAAGTAGATAAATAGGGACCACCTCTGTGGGAAGGTAACAGCGTTCCGTGTCTAAGTCGCACTGGCCATGTGACCACGGATGATTGTCTTTGGACAAAACGCTGGCTCTATGGCTTGGAAACGGGGATGAGCACCGCCCCCTAGAGTTGAACACGACTGGACAAAAATTGTCAAGGGGAACCTTTACCTTTTTTATGGTGGGTTGCGGTGAAAAAGGATGCCTGCCCCCCAAGGTCACCTGGAGAGTTTTATAGCTCAGTGGGGATTTGAACTCAGATCTTTCCACACACTATACTGGATTGCATGATGTGAAGTATTACACAATAGCAGAGTAGCACTAGTAGTTATCTTTATTTTGGTCTCGGTTTCTTAGATATCATCCCACTGTTTGGGTCTAAAAGTGACAAACACAAGACACACATTGATCTCAAGAAATAATGGTCCCTGGAACCACAGTCTCCTTCCAATTTCCCCACTCCAGCCCTCCCATCAATTGCCACATTCAAATGCAAAAAGAAGGAAAGCCCAGGTACCTTGTCTAAAGGAAAATACGGCACCGTTGCCTCATCACCATCTATAATGGTCTGCCCAGCAAACACCACATTGACGGAGCTGGTGTAGATCAGTCTGGGGATGCTTCGTTGCTTGCAGACTACACACACAGAGAGAGAGACAATCATAGTCCTTTGTTACGGAAGGGAGCAACTTGGTAGGAACTTAAGAAAAAGGCGGGGTCTTCCTTACAGAGCTCAGAAAAGGTGCTTTTTCAGACCAAAAAACCCCCGGGATCTCCCAAACAGCACTGGCCATGATGGCCCATTCCAGAACCGGAATCAGCCCATGTGCATCCCAACCAAAGCAGAGGTTCCGTACCTTCAAGGACCACTCCAGTTCCTCCAACGTTGGTGGACCGAATCTCCTTCGTGCGCACCTGAAGGGGAAGGAGGAGAGAGATGGACGTTTCAAGACCAGGTGCTGGAAGAAAAGTGAATGAACGGCCTGCCCTTGTTCAGTTTTGGATTTTCTCCAGAACAAGTTTGCCCTTTCCTAAGGTGCAAGCAGGCCGGCTGTCTGTCTGCTGCCAGAAGCGCCCAAGCCTTTGTGGCATTTGAAGGGTTAGACAAGAAAAAAGATGAGGCAGAACTTGGAATGCTGGTGGAGTGTGAGGAGAACCCGAGAGTTGTAGGTCAACATGAGGTCACCTTTCAAACTTTGGAAGAAGGGGCTGCGCAAAAGGTTCCTGGTTCAAAGGTGGGCCAGCCCCACTTCACAGATGATGACAAAGAACTCTACATGAGACTATCTATCATGACCAGATTATCATGGCTCGTGTTAACCCGGGAGTTGGAAATCCTTGCTGAACTTCTCTACATCCAGAGACTCCCAGGAGATCCAGATATATCTTTTGTCCACTCTTGTTCCAGCAAGCCTATACCCTGTGGCAGAAAAAGCCTGATCTCATGCAAAACAAACAGAGCATAAATCACCACTAAACATTTCAAGAGTCGTCCTCCTCACCTGTTCGATTCCTGTCATTCCATACGCGGCTGTGTGAATTACACAATCTGCCCCTTCGCAGGCCTCATAGAGTTTCTCGAAATCTCTCACGTCAGCCTGTAAAACAGGTAGAAGATTGCTCGGCTGTCATTTGGACAGCTGGATCCCTCCAGGCTGCAAATGAAGCAGGTTGCAATCCGAGAGGTAAATCCCAGAATCATTTGAAACATGATGAAGGAGACAGTGGCCTTTTTCTCGGATCAAGTCCATTGATATATGATTTCAACATAATTAGATAACCTAGGTTCGATGCTTGATTTCCTTGCTAATGTTTTTTACATTTTAAATATTGTTTCCCAATGTGTGTTTTCATTAATACCATTACATTTGATACCTTTTAAATCATCAAACTATTTTGCTTTAATTCCTGTTTATTTTAACGACATTGTGGGCCACCACCTTGCGTTCCTTCACCAGGAGAAAGCTGACATGAAATGCAATAAATAAGCAAATAACAAACAAATAATTGGGTGCAGTCTAACTTTCCCTCATTGCAGGTAGAAGGTAGAGATGATACATTTGACAAGTATCTCTACCTGGTTGGGGCACTGGTTCATTAGGGCTCAGGTGATTCCCCCTCCCCGCCAGTCCACTTCTGCTTGCCTGCTTGCCACGGATTAAGGATCAGGGCCCTGCTGCCTTTGATTCCTTCCTTCTGATGTGTTTTGTGAATGAGTGAGTGTGCACTGGGAAGGCCTCTGGCTTCAGAGCCAGAGACTGGGAGTTTGATTCCCCGCTGGGAAGGCCTCTGCCTTCCTGACCAGGACCAGCTCAGGTGATCCATAGAGTCCCTTCCAGCACTGCAGGTGCCTTCCTGACCAGGTGATCCATAGATTCCCTTCCAGCACTGCAGTTCTAAGACGATGATGATGGTAGAAAGTGAGAGAGAAGAGGGGCAACAGAAGGTAGAAACCATTTCTCATGGGGTGTCCGGTGTTGATTGTGTAGAAAGTGGGGGAGAAGAGGGGCAACAGAAGATAGAAACAATTTCTCATGGGGTGTCCGGTGTTGATTGTGGTCGGTGGGGTGGCCGACACAGCAGGCCGACGGTGGGCAAAAACACAAGTGACAGAGCCAGGGCCAAAGAGATGTGGAAAAGACAGTCAACCCGATATTCACAGAGACACATGTTCCCTCTCATCCTGTTCGTTCGCTTCGCAGCTCTGCTGAAGAGCCGAGAAACACACCCTGTTCCTGAATTAAAGATGTCCCTCTCGAGGCCCTGTGAGACGTGCATGCGGTTGCTTTTCTCGAATAAGCTTGATTTCACAGCAGTTGACTCATCAGGTTCACTTCCACCCCCTTTCCTGTTTTCTTTCTTCCAGCTGCCTCATCCACCTCTCACACACCCCTGCCACTCACAGGAGGTGATGGCACAGGGAGTTTAGTGGAAGGGGACCCATAGCTGGGGGGGGCCTGGCTCTCCACTTCTCATCAAACCATAGGCAGGAGTGGGCTGGCTATTGGGGGTCTGAGCCCGAGGGATGTAGGGGGTGCCTCGGTGGGGAGGGACTTCAAAAGGCGTGCTTCACTTCTGCTCATACATCTTAGACTAGGCATCAGCATCTAAGTCACTGGACATTTAGATCAGCTTTCCCCAAACCAGCATTGCAAGACTACGACGATAACTACATACTGTAGGCTTTGTTGCTGTTACAGCATGACTTGATTTGATTTTTTTTTCTAATTACCCACTGCAAAGGCTGATCCAAATCAGTCTGGCCCATTTCCCCCCCAATGTTTTCTCTCTCTCTCTGTTGCTGGGAGCTTCTACCTTTTTCAAGTGAGAAAACAATGCAAAACAGACTCTTTCCCATGTGATCAACTGATTTGTTCTTGTAAAGACAAGGGGGATTTGTGGGTGGTGTTTCAGTGACGCAGATGGAACATGATGTTCAGGACTGCGAGAATACCTAGCCCAGTGTTCTTTCCCTCTGATTGCCCTCTGAATTTTATTTTATTTTATTATATTTTTACATGTGTGAGATGAGCACTGGATTGCCTTATCGCCAGTACTGATGTAGTAGTTTAGCACTCTATCACCTCTGGATGAGAGTGTTATTTAAAAAAATTGCAAACAAAACAGAACTCGAACAAAATAAAATATGTTCCTGTTATATGTGGTGTTTCTGGATGCCTTAAGAAGTTTGGAACGTCTGCCACCCTTTCCGTAACACTATACAAACCTTGTACAACCAAGTAGCTTGACAGCAAACCATAAAACGATTTGCAGAAGTGGGACAGAGGAAAGAAGAAAACAAGGGAGGCTGTAGACTAAAATGTGAACTGCATTATATCAAGTGTAAACACTGAATTAATCCACAGCCCCTGTGTGATCACTGACTGTGAATTCAACCTTAATACAAGGCTGCAAATAGAGACATTTAATTTGCCGGTGTAATCACTCTGGGTGAGAGTGACCATGTTCTACTTGAATTTTGGATTTCAAAGAAAACCAAAGCAGAGTCTAGCCACTCACATATGATGGATTTTTAAAGGCCAACTTTAATAATCTCAGAACAAGGATGAGTAAGGTCCCACAGCAGGAGATCCTAACAAGAAAAGGAATCCAAGAAGGGTGGGAGCTTCTTAAAAAAAGAGACATTCTAAAAGCACAACTACAAACAATTCCAACAAGAAAAAAAAGATGGGATGCAGCAAAAAAAAAAGTCAGCATGGCTTCACAAAAAGCTCAGGGAGGACCTGAAGACAAAACAAAAGACATGTATAGAGAGTGGAAAGAAGGGCAAGTCACCAAGGAAGAGTACAGACAAGTAGCAAGGAAATGTAGGGATGGCATTAGGAGAGCAAAAGCTGAGAATGAGCTGAGGTTAGCTAGAGAGGCTAAAAGCAACAAAAAAAAAAAGCATTCTTCAGGTATGCATGAATCAAAAGACAAAGAAAAGAAACAGTGGCTCAACTACTGAATGGAAATGGAAAAATGATAACGGGTGACAAAGAAAAGGCAGAGGTGCTCAATTCCTGTTTGAGCTCAGTCTTTTCCCAAAGGACAGACTATGAACTTCCAGACAAATGTGAAGTGCAAGTGGAAATGACAGGATTGCAGCTGGAGATTGATAAACAAATAGTCAAGGAACACCTTACCACCTTGAACGAGTTCAGATCTCCAGGGCTGGATGAACTGCATCCCAAGAGTATTGAAGGAACTGGCTGAAGAACTCTCAGAATCACTATCAATTATTTTCTTGAAATCATGGGAAATGGGTGAGGAGTCAGAGGATTGGAGGAGGGCTAATGTTGTCCCTATCTTCAAAAAGGGCAAAAAAGAGGAGCCTGGGAACTACAGGACAGTCCACCTGACATCAATCCCAGGCAAAATTCTGGAACAGATCGTAAAGCAGTCATTGTGCAGGCACCTAGAAAACAATGCAGTAATAAGTAGAAGCCAACACGGATTTGTCAAGAACAAATCCTATCAAACTAATTTGATCACATTTTGATCAGCTAACCTCCCTGATAAACAGAGGGAATGCTGTAGCTGTAGTATGTCTTGACTTCAGGCACTGAGCCAAAAACAACAATGAAATTCAGCAGGGATAAGTACGAAGTACTGCACCTCGGAGAAAGAAACCAATTGCACAGTTACAAGATAAGGGATACCTGACTCAGCAAAACTATGAGTGAGAAGGATCTTGGAATTGTTGTAGATCACAAGCTAAATATGAGCCAACAGTGTGATGTGGCTACAAAAAAGGCTAATGCTACTTTAGGCTGTATTAACAGACCTATAGCTTTCAAATCCCACGAGGTGCTGGTCCCCCTCTATTCAGCACTGGTTAGGCCTTCCTTGGAAAAAGAAACCAAATCCACAGGTACAAGATGGGGGATACCTGGCTCAGCAAAACTACGAGAAAGAAGGATCTTGGAATTGCTGTATATCACAGGCTAAATATGAGCCAACAGTGTGATGTGGCTACAAAAAAGGCAAATACTATTTTAGGCTGCATTAACAAAAGTATAGTTTCCAAATCCTGCAAAGTGCTAGTTCCTCTCTATTCAGCATTGGTTAGGCCTCACCTTGAGTATTGTGTCCAGTTCTGGACACCAACACTTCAAGAAGGATGCTAACAAATTGTAACAAGAGAGGGCAACAAGGATTATCAGGGGCCTGGAAACCAAGCCCTATGAGGAAAGACTGAAAGAATTGGGCATGTTTAACCTTGAGAAAAGAAGACTGAGGGGTGATATGATAGCACTTTTCAAATGTTTGAAAGGCTGTCGTACAGAGGAAGGGCAAGATCTGTTCTCCATCATCCCAGAGTGCAGGACACACAACAAAGGGCTGAAGTTACAGGAAGCCAGATTTCGCTTGAATATCAGGAAAAACTTCCTAAAACAGAGTGGAACTAACTACCTTGAGAGGTGATGAGTGCTCCAACACTGGAGGCATTCAAGAGAAACTTAGACAACCACCTGGCAGATATCCTTTGATTTTTATTCCTGCATCAAGCAGAAGGCTGGACTCGATGGCCTTACAGATCCCTTCCAACTTCACTCTTCTATGATTCTGTGATCAATCCCTTGCCAGAATGGCCAACAGAGATTATGCTCCCATGTTAGAGTCAGCTGAACCAGGAAAATGACTTTACAGCCTTCTACTCAAAAAGTTATGACATGGAACTTTTTAAAAAATAGCTTTATTATATAATGTAAAACGTGCAGTAACCGCAGATAGCATGTACCTTCCAACTTCACTCTTCTATGATTCTGTGATCAATCCCTTGCCAGAATGGCCAACAGAGATTATGCTCCCATGTTAGAGTCAGCTGAACCAGGAAAATGACTTTACAGCCTTCTACTCAAAAAGTTATGACATGGAACTTTTTAAAAAATAGCTTTATTATATAATGTAAAACGTGCAGTAACCGCAGATAGCATGAGCATCTTAGAAAACCTGATGTACTATTATGGAAAAGAGAATTTGATATACAGTACTGTATAGATCAGCCACCCATTCTTCCTAGTTACCTGCAGCTGTAGGGCTTGGAAATGACTAGTTTATAAAGTAACATACTGTAATTACCTATAGCTAGTTATACTTTGGATTCAACAGTTACAACATAAGAGTATTTCCAAAGTTAAAGAAAAAGTAATGTTTCATGTCATGACACCATTACTTTTTATGTGTAAAGTTTTCTGGTCACTTCCAAAAGTCAATGCCTTTTGACATATTCTTGAGGGCATTTTGACAGAACTTATTCAGGTTTTAGACCGATGCATTTTATGACCTATATGATGAGGGACGTTTTTGTGTTTTTTGTCTTTTGGATTTCTGTAAACATTTGCAAGATAGAATTTCAGGATTTGCCACTAGAAGCAACCTGAGAGTATTATTCTAGTCTGTCAGTAATGATAAGGTAGCATGTTAATAAGGTGTAGTTCACCTTTTTATTGCATGATTAAACCAGTGATGGCTGCTGATAAGCCCTGAATAACACAATGAACTTTTTTTAGAAAGTCAAGTTCCTAGCTCTGCCATCTGCCGTGATGACCAATTCCAGTGTGTTTAAGACCTTTTTTTGGTTTCATTTCTGATTTATTTGTTATTTTCTATTCCCTTTTTCTTCCAGCATGTCTAAAGTATATTTTAACACCCACCCATGCTGTCCTTACAACATACCATAGCAGTTTATGTATATCAAGGCTGAGTATCCAAAACCTTATATCCCCATGTCCTAGTTTAGATCCTAATTCAATATAGTGTATGGCTTTAGGTCGTCTTGACTAAATCCAGTTGTTAGTCCCAACTAAAGTAAATAGATCTACTCTAGGTAGGACCAATCATTGCATTTAGTCATCTACATCTAATCAAACTTTTAACAGGAGTACTTATATCCCATTCCAACATAGTTAGGGATGGGATTTTTGGATTTCCTAGACTACAAAGCCCATAACTCTTCATTTTGGAAGTTCTAACTGACTTATAGACATCTTAAAAAGGTTCCCCTTGACAATTTTTGTCCAGTCGTGTTCGACTCTAGGGGGCGGTGCTCATCCCCGTTTCCAAGCCATAGAGCCAGCGTTTTGTCCGAAGACAATCTTCCATGGTCACATGGCCAGTGCGACTTAGACACGGAACGCTGTTACCTTCCCACCGAGGTGGTCCCTATTTATCTACTTGCATTTGCATGCTTTCGAACTGCTAGGTTGGCAGGAGCTGGGACAAGCGACGGGCGCTCACTCCGTCGCGTGGATTCGATCTTACGACTGCTTGGTCTTCTGACCCTGCAGCACAGGCTTCTGCGGTTTAGCCCGCAGCGCCACCACGTCCCCTTATAGACATCTTACAGACACAAAAATCCCATCCATAAACATATCTACCAACATTCAATTGTTTCCATATCATTCTTTTCTTTGGGGGAAAAAAAGGAGAAAGACACTATAATCAAACCCATAAACATTGAGTTACCTGTATAAGCAGTACTCCGTTTGGGATTTCCCAGAGAGGTAGGTTCACATCGTAGAGAATGACTTCAGTTCCCAATTTGGCAAGAGTGCAGCCCAGTGTATAGCCAAAATACCCGGCACCTCCCGTGATCACGGTCTTGTCACTGACTTTTTTCCATTTTTGCTTACTGCTCTCAGGTTTTTGTTCAACAGGTTTGTGTTCGTGCTTAAAGAATGTGAAGGGTTTTCGGTCTTTCTGCGGAGTTTTCTCCATTGCACACTGAGATGCTCAGAGATCCACCAGATTCTGTGTCACAAGACTCCAGCCAGGCTCTCCACATCTCACCTTCTCATTACCCTGCTGAAAAAGAGCATCCAGATCCATTACACATCAGCATATTTCTATTCCAATTGGGCTTATTGAGTGGGTGATATATAGTCTCCCTTCTTCACTCTTATTAAGCCTAAATTACAAACACAACCTGAAAAACCTAAGAACATAGGAATCAATCTTATATATATTCAGTCCATTTAGCTTTCCAGAATTGGTCCATTTAGCTTTCCAGAATTTCAGGTAGGAGATTTAATAGCCCTACCTGGAAATACTGGGGATAACACCTGGGGATAACACCAGCTCATGGCTGGCTATGCTCTGTGGCCTGTGCACCATTATTCCACTTACCAAGGGCTCTGCTGATAATGCGAATGCAATGGAAAAAAAACAGCACAAAGTCCTGTTTTGGTTTGAGGGCTTGTCCACATTGCATTCATTCTGTCCCCCCCCTTCTGGTTTAGGTATCTGGCTGTGGAGCCAGAAGTTGGGAGTTGGATTGTCCACTGGGCCTCCTAAGAGTAAAGCCAGCCTGTATAGCCTTGGGCAAGCTGCACAGTCCCCAAAGAAGAGAACGGGGAACTATTTCTGAGTACTCTCAGAAGACCCTGAATTGAATTGACAGCACATGATGATGATTTGAATAGATGGTCCTGGTATTTGCATCCATACATGGGGAGGGCATTTGCCTGTTGACACACATCTGCTTTATCTCTGACATCTTATTCCCAAGACTGGTTGATCTGTGCTTTTCCCTATCTTCTCTGACTTGTTCCCCATTCCCTTCTCCCTTTCCTCCTTATTTTGCCCTTTCATGGGCAGGTGGAGGCTGACCAGCTGAAAAAGATGTCCAAAAAAGGGAACATCACTAAATGCTCTCAAGAGCCAAGATGTCAATTCCAAACCTCACAAGAAGGACGGGCCATCTCTCCCAAATGAGAAGCATCCATTTCTGGACCATTTTTTCTGCACCATCCATGAAGGGGGCGTGCGCTTAGAACTTGAGGAAGTGGATTTCATCCATGAAAGCTTGCTAGTCGTTTAACATTTTCACGCTCCAATACTCTCTCGTTTGTGTCATCCTGGGGACCACACCAGGCCTCTCCCCATTGCCAGATGACCCACAAAATATGTGGAGCAGCATGGAACCATGGGGTCCGGACAAAAAATGGACCACAGCCCATCAATAAAAATGTCCAGAGTGAAAGTTTGGAACTTTATTCGTAGTTCTGGATTCTCCTTTGGGAGTGGCTATTTTATTTTATTCTCTTAAAACTGGGAGGAGGGCAAGTAGGGAGTTTGGGAGGGGTCCCGAGAGCTCACAAGCCCACCGACCGTGACAGGGGGCTCACCAACCCCACCATCTCCATCTTTGCTGGATGCCTTACCGCACAGGCTCCCAACATTTTGTTTCACACCCCAGCTGGATGTATCTTAGCCAGAGGATGGCATGAAGCCCCCCCTCCCAAATCAAATATCATCTGGCAGGAGCATCACCTTGTAGGATCCCTTGGGAAGATCAGAGGATCCTCCAAGGAGAGGGAAAAAAAGTTGAGACATCTCCTCAAGATCGTTGAACCAGGGAATCGGCCCCGGACTGGACTCCTCCTTTTCTGAATTGCACAATTAGGAACAGATTACACCTGTTTTCTAAAGCACTACAAAGACGATTGTTATATAGATAAACAGATAAATAACCCGTTGGCAACTCCAGCTGCAAGATAATAAGATTCTGATGATTGTGAATTACTCACACGTTGGTACCCGTTCCCTCCACTTCCCTCCTCCCTAGTTTTCTTGATTACATTTTTTCCAGATGTGTCGTATCAGCTGCTTCTTCCATTTATAAGCTGGGATTGTGAATCCAAGGTTTGTTCTTGATTTTATAAAATCTGGTTTGTTTGGGGAACAGACCAGGAGCTCTGCTTTGGATGACACATGAAACGTTTCTGCTTTATTTTATTTACTTAAATCATAATATTTTTGCGCAACCAGCTATCTACTCATCCATGGTAACCATAACTGTCATTTACCCTCCAGCATGGAATCTGGAGTAAAGAGTAACCAATCATATATCACACATGCAAATTCATCTCTTGCAATTGGTCGGCAACATTCTCTCTCTTTACTCCATCAGAATGTTTCAGTTTAAAAATAGGATTTTTTCCCCCTCCTTGGCAGTTGATGCTGTTAAATGAAATTCCATTCCAGCAGCTTGAGGAGCTAAGGCAGCAAAATCCTAGGTGTGCTTACCTGGAAGTAAATTCCACCCAATTCCATGGAAGTCACTTCAAAGTAAACACAGATTGTTCACGGTTCCAAGATTTGAACTTGCTGCTTTCAAGGTTTAATGTGGTCAATTTTTATATTCGGAACAAAAATGCAAAAAGTTGTAAATGTGCTTGCTTTTCCACCAGAGTGTGGTTTTCCAGCCTTATTAGTTCATTTGGGAGGGTAGTACAGCTGGAAATTGCTTTTCCACCAGAGTGTGTTTTCCAGCCTTATTAGTTCATTTGGGAGGGTAGTACAGCTGGAAAGATGGTTTTAACATTCCCCCCCTAAGAAAACAGATATATATATTTTAAATGTAGGTACAAAAATAAAATAAAATATTGTTGATTTACATGTATACTTTCTGGACATTCATTTCTTTCTCTCTCTTTTTTAGACCCAGTTGCAAAAAACAAATGAGGGGGACATTTAAAATATTTGAGGACAGGAGCCCACCCACCTGGACTTCAAATTACCTTCCTGTTTTAAACTAAATTGCTAACTTCGGCAAAATGCTGTGATGTCTTTCAATCACTGTTACCTGTCACAAACACAGTCGTAAAATGGGCCTTTTTCTCTGCTTTGCTTAGAAGAATGTTGCTTTTAAGCAGTTAAAACAGCCATTATTGTTGAATGTTGCTTTTTAGGTTAAAACAGCCATTATAGTAACAAAGATGTTTGCCACAAAATATTTTGATTCAAAGGTACGAAGGTTTGTGACCCCCCTTCCCCAAATATTCATTTCTGAATATGACTTTTATTTTATTTAATATTTTGTTTGCTTGCATGTTGGACAATATTCTGTTTGGAAATAAAGTCATGTAAACAGTGTGCTGTCGAGAAGCAGGTCCCACTGAGGTTGGTTAATTAAAGAATAAATATTCCTGTCAGCAAATGATAATAAAAAAATATTCCAGGACCTAAGAAAATGGGACAGGCTTGTTCAGCTGACTAGATAATAAGTTACCCTGACATATATTGTCGGCAAATATTTCGCTCTGGAGAATATTTTCCCCCATATTTTTTTTTCTGATATGTCCTAATTCTGTTTTCTCAAAAATCTGTGTTAAATAAGTTTAGATGTCACCACAAAATGGACATTTTTCTGCCTCAATTGAATCATTCACAGTGCCATCCCATCTATGAAAG